ATAGTTTCACTGCCCTAACAATTTTCTGTGCTCTGTCTATTCATCCCGTATTTCATTTTTAAAATAAACACTTAAGAAATAAGAAATATATAATTTCAAAATAGGAAACTTTTCACCTTGGACTGGTGAAACTAGACTAGTTTGAGGACTGGCCACATCACAGCTGCTCAAAATACAACCATCACAGGATCAACCCCCAAGCATCCTAACTCCAAAGACCAAGTGCTCATTTACTGCCCCCTGGCACCTTCCAAGACAGTTCCAGAACTGTGGCTTTGGTGGTGGGGGAGGGTGACCTCATCCTAACTTCAACTGACTGCCCTCTTGCACACACGTGCATAGTACAGCTTCTGACACATGTACGGACATCATCCTATGTGTCTTGTCTCCAGGCAAATAACAAGGGTCTTGTTATGCCAGAAAGTTTTCATAAAGTTGGTCCTTTCACAGGAATAGTGTAATATTTTATAGTTATGCAAATGTATCTGTTATACAAGAACTGTGGTGTATACCCTCAAGTCATGGCAGGAAATATTGTAAATTAGGCTATCTAGTCCAGAAACCTAAAGTGCTCCCAAATGTACCTCACAAAATCAATGTGTTGGCAAGGACCCCAGAGGCCTTCTATGGGGAAGACTGGGTTCCCTCCCCCAGCGACTCAGGAGTGCGGGCTTCTTGCTTTTGACTTTAGGCCTCATTGGATGACTTCCAGGTTCCCCAAAGCCTTCACTCCTGATATTGGCCAGGGAGCCCAGACAACAGGCCTTGAGTTCATAATTGCCTCTCTTCATTCCACTCTAAATAATTAGCTGTCCTTGCATGTGTGAGGGTGTGTGTGGCAAAAGAGGTGAGGGGAACCTGTTCCCTTTCAATTGCCATCAGGTGACCTGGGCCTACTGGGGAAGCTCTAGTTGAACCTGGGTTTCTGCCTGAAACACCCGTTCCACAGAGGACCCCTCAATATGTCCAGCTGTGTTAGTAAGCCTGACAAGTGGACTCTGCCATTACCCTGCTATGTGGCCTTGAGCAAGTCTCCTGACTTTTCAGGGCCTTGGTCTCCTCTACAGATAAAGAACAAGGCAAGAGACTAAGTCTGAACAGGAAATCGAGAGGAGCTGGAAAGGAACTGCTTAGCAGCCCTCCCCCCAGGCTCTCTCTCTCCAGTGGTCAGGTGGACTTCTGGCCCCCCCGCACCCACCCACGAGACTCACAGAAGGACGGGCAGGGGGTTTTGTGTTTTCCATCCTCATTTCTAAGGCTGTGAAGAGCTGAAGTTGAGGGGCCCTGTACCAGGTAGAGTATTCTCCACTCTCCACCCTCCCCAACTGCCTTGTGTCTTGGAAGCTGACCTCTGTGAACTATTATCAGGGCACCCCCAGCCTCTGGCTTTGATTGGGTTTGGCCAACGGCGGGCACTGCCAAGACATCAGAGGGCTGGTGGGGAATGAAGTGGAAGTGAGACTTTCCGATGAGTCCCTGCTTCCCTGGGGTCCTGGCAGCGGTGGCATTTTGCTGCTCCAGCTCCAGCTGGGTGGCTCCTCTGCCTTGATTCCAGCTCCCACCAGTTTTCACGGGAGTTCCTTCCCTTAAAGGACTGCTTGCTATTGTCAGTCACTAGGGACCTCATCTCTCTCTCTGTAAACAGTCATTCCACTACCCGCCTTCAGCAAACCCTTGGAACGTGCCTTCCCTTTTCTGCGTACCTACCGATACAGGCTCTTACTACCGCTCCTCCAACTCTCTGAACTGTTCTAACCAAGCCCAGCTATGGAAAGTTTCATCTGGAAGCCCATGAGGCGAGTTGTGAAGGGTCAGAGCAAAGATCCCTCCTCTGCTCCTGGGCACTTGCCGTCCAGTCACACGCACCCTCTCTGACCCTCAGCGCAAATGAGTAGGTGGAAAGTCATCTAATGCTCTTACCGGATGACATATTTTACCAAACACTATTCTGTTGCTCACCATAATTATCTGTATTTGTGTATAAGCTGCATACCTCTGCCCATCTATCTCATTTTTGATTGACAAACTCCCGGATTCCCTCTCTTTTATTCACACATAACATGAATGATTCACAAGTGGGAAAGTCAGCAGGGCCCCTTCTACCTCGGTCTCCTCATCTGAATGAATGGGGTAATAATCCTGTCAACCTCACAGAGTTGGTGTGAGTAACATCTCTAAGTGCTTATATCAGCAGGTGCGAAGTATTAGCTAACACTATTATTATTCTCTCATCTGATTCGTCGTGGCTCACTTTCCTAGTATGCAGGAAGGGGAACAGGGGCCCTGGGTAGGAATTCCTAAGTCCCCCCACTTTCAATACTCTCCTCAGGACCTTTTTCCCCTCCACACCCCATTCTTGAATAGATTTCTTCTCTGCTACCTTTTCATCCCAGGATAATTCTGGACGGGGAAGCGGGGCAGGTTGTGATACTATACTTTCTGCCCTCAGTTCTAGACCAGTGGTTTTCAAGCGGTGGACTAAGGAGAAGTGCAGTTCACAAGGAGCCCCGTAGACCACAGAAAATGGGTATTGCTCAAGGCAACACCCTTCAACTTGCTTTTATCTGTTCAGGCTTCAAGACTGTTTGAACAAAGGCTTTCAAGACTTTAAAAAGTTGAAAAATCCCTATTCTGAGAGACTGACGCCCCCGATTATATAACTCTCAGCCCTAATTTCTTTGGCCCCATTGCCAAGAAACTTTCTCTGCTCTGTTCAAGCCATTTGTATTTTTTTCCATACCTGATGCACTGGAACAGAGAGTGAACGAGGAAATCTTTGTGAACTCATCTGAGGTGTCTTTCCCATGTGCTCAGCGGGTTCAGTAGACACTGCCTCCTTAATTTCCAGGCCTCTGGGGAAGATAAGTACAACACTGTTTAACAGTAGTGATATTTGAAGGCACTTGACTTTTACTGGCACCTGACCAGGCCACCGGAGTGTTTGCCAACTCCTAGAATCTAAGGTTAGTGAGATTCTATCCCAGTGACCCCCAGGCAGCCCTGGTCCTAGCGGCTGCCAGGAGGGAAGGCAGGGGGTAGCAGAAGCTGACTCCCAGGGAGGAGTGCCCAGCAACTGGAAGTGGCTGGGGAAGTGGGGGAGGTACTGACATTTAACTTTTTTGTGCAGTTCAAGACTTTGGGCACAGAGAATATGAACATACAAAGGGAGCAAAAACCCCAGCCTCCAGACCTCTGCCTGGAATACTCTTAGCCCAGATTGCCACAGGCTCCCCCCCCCACTCATTCGGCTCACACGTGACCTTGGTAGAACTGCCTTAAGACCAGGGCAAGAGAAGCCCCTGCCTTCAGTTTTGAGCTCCCTGGCCCTCTTCCAGCCATGCCCCTTTCCACAGAGCAAGAAACTCATCTGGGCCAAGGGGGTATGCTCACCCCAAACTCCTGCTCCTCACCCCTTAGGTCACACTGTGGGTACCTGACGCCCTAGAACTCCCTGTCCCAGTAGCACCAGGCCAGCTTCTTCTAGGGACTGCATTGGCCTTTTCCCGAGGTCTGTCCTCTTGAGGAGCCAAGGGTGGCCATTTGCAGGTGGTGTGGGCAGAGCTCATATGTGCAGAAGGGATACTATAGGTGTATGCACAGGCCCCTTGAAGTACAGAGTGCAAAGAGTAAGAAGGCCAAGGGGCAGGGACCAGTCTCGGCCTAAGACACCCCATTCCAGTGCACATCTTGGGGGAGGCCAAGAATTTTAAACTTAAATTTGGCCTTCCGGAGTATTAAAGTATACTTACCAAGATGAAAGAATAGGAATTTTACGTGACAGTTTAACTTGGTTTATGATTTTTAAATATGTAGACGTATGATATGTGGGTCTCCATTTTACTATTGACTGGCCCTACAAGCCTTCAGGGTGGGCGTACTCCCAACCACCCTATCTAAATAAAAGATTACTTCCTCTGTCACTCTATTCTTACTCTATTGCATGTTTCCTCACAATATTTGTCATAATCAGATCTACATTTACTTGTGTATCACCTCGCCATCGCGATCCTCACTAGAACGTAAGAATCTTGGTTTGTAGGCTGCCTTACTCTCAGTACCCAGAGCAGTGCCTGGGGAGAAGATACTACTCAGTAAATGCTGAATGAGTAAGGAGTCTGGTCTCAGGCTTACAGGTGCGGTGGGCCAGCCCAGCAAACAAAAAGATCATCTGTGACAGCTCTCTAAGGAGAGTCTTCTCCCCTTAAAATAACACGCAGCAGCCGGGCTACAAAAGGTAACCAGGATGAACGGCCCATTAACACCTTAGTACACGTGACCACAAGATCACCTGTTCACCTGTGAGAGAGGCCTTTCAGTATGGACTGCTTCTAGGAGACTGGAGAGGGAGATGGGGGGACGTGGGCTGCTGGGAGCCACAGCTGGAGGAATTGGGTCTCCTAACTACCTTACGAGAATGGGCCAGATGAGTGTGCTTGAGGAAACCCTGATACCCGCTCAGGGGCAGCTCTAATACAGCTCAGCCTATGGTGCGCGTGGGGCTTCTCGTCTATAATTAGGAGGCCCTTAGTTGGTCACAGGCCCCAGGGGGTGTGGGCACATCTCACCCCTGTGATGTCGTGGTAACAGACTCAGAGACTGTTCTACCCAACCCTCTTCTCACCCACCTGCTTCTAATTCAGAACGTCTTATTGTTTGATGGAATTCCCAGATCTTTCTTGGAACAGCCTAAAGCAGTCCAGTCTATCCAATCAATGGACTCCTTTTCCGTTGGCTACAGGCCCAGTAGCGACCGGAGCTCGGACTTCTGAGCCGCGGACGCCCCACTCTGTTATTTGGGAGTAGGGGCTCCAGGCCTGGGCCGCGCTCCTCTCCCTGGGCCAGGAAGCCGCAGCCTGCCTAGCGCAGCTCCGAGGCCTCGGCTCACCGCGCAGGGGGCGCTCGCCGCGCGGGCCGGCTCGGCATTCGGCTCCGGCCCCGCCCCGCGGCGGGGCGGGGAAGGGGCGGGCAGCGGCGCCATGGGCGGGTCCCGGGGATCCTCCCCCGGACCGAGCCTACTCCCTGGCCGAGCCTCCCCGCACCAACTCGTCTGAAACTTGTGCGCAGCGGTGGCGCAGCCGCCGAGGATGGGGGGTTGCGGCCGCCGCTCGGGGCCGCCGCCCGCGCTGCTGTTGCTCTTGGCGGTGGCCGGCGCCGGCGCTGCGCCGCGCGCCGGGCTCTACTCGCCCTCCGACCCGCTGACGCTGCTGCAGGCGGACTCCGTGCGCGGCACCGTGCTGGACTCCCCCAGCGCCTGGGCCGTGGAGTTCTTCGCGTCCTGGTGCGGACACTGCATCGCCTTTGCCCCGACCTGGAAGGGGCTGGCCAACGACGTCAAAGGTGAGGAGCGGTAGGCGGGGGGTTCCCACTTCTCACCCCGCAGCCCCTCGCTCCACCCAGGTCGGCTCGGCGGAGGGCCCCGCGCGGCGCGCCCGCCCCCCCTGCCCACCAGCTCGGCCCACCTCTTCCTCTGCCCCGTCCGCTTACCCCCGCCACCCTACCTCCGGTTTCACATCCCTCAACTCCATTTTTGGCTCCCGCCCCTCGCAGTCTTTTCCCCTTGGCCGCTGTCCTGAGCTTCTCACCTCACCCCGCGATTTGCCCCTCCACCCCCACCCCAACAGGACGTGCTGGGCTTCCCCTGTCCGGCCTCTGCCGGTGTCCTGCCGCGGTCCCTGGGGTCTCCTTTGTTCCTCCTCTTGATCGCCTGACACCTTACGGCTTCCTCTAGCCCAGCCTGTGACAGTTCCTTTCCGTTCACCCAGGAAGCCGTGTCGCCTTGGGCCAAGGGCCCCAGGGCTGCGGGATCCGGGCTGGGCGAAGAGGAGCCCTCCCTCTGCCACCCCCACCCCCTTGGCCCGCTGACCCAGCTGCTGCAGACTCTTTCTCGGCTTTACCTTTGCGGCGGTTTTCCCGTCTCAGGCCCAGGCCTCTCCCCGTGGTGTCCATGCGCTCTCTCAGCCCCTTCTCTTTTAACCCCATGATCCGAGGGGCCTGACTGAAGGGCAGCCTCTTGGTGTGTGTCTGGGCCTTGTTTGCATTTGCTGCTCTGACTTCTAATCTCATATTTCCTTGATTCCAAGAGTCCATCAATTGTAAGACACATCATTCATTGATTAACAGCCTGAGAGGTAGAGGGATAAGATGACCATTAAATGTATAGATTTAAATATATACTCTATTAAAATGATGTTTTTGAAAACTCAAGAGAGCTGAGGGAATATGGTAATAATAGCGATTAATATTTACTGAGTGCTTACTACATGTCAACTGCCTAAGTATCTGACATGTTTGAATTTCCTTTCCACAAGTTAAAGATCTCTGTGGTGTCCCACATCTGCCTAACCAGACAGACAACAGGTAGGGGGGCAGGAGTAACTTGGTGGTAGTGATTTGCTGCCCCTGAATGGAGCTACATCCTGATTGTGGTGCCAGGGCCCTAAGAGGGCTCCTGACCTGAGAGGGTCACTGAATTAGGAGTGTGGGCATCTTAGGGAACAGGCCTCTTTGTGGAGAGAAGAGAACTGCAACCATTGTTTCTCTGCTGTGCGTTAGTATTTCTTATAAACTCAACTGTCTGTGATATAATAGTGCCTTTGTAGGTGTTGGTTTTCAAATTCAGGCTACCTCTTCCCTTGAGCAGCTTGCACAGTGGTTATTGAAGTGGCAAAATGGAAAGATGTATGCATCTGCCAGCCACGTGGTCCTGGAAAGTTTTTTTAAACAGAACTGATAAACCATTTTACTTCCAGTTTACACGTAGACATTTGTCTGCATACTTCTGTGGTCCCATCACCTGAAGGTGCCATTTCTCAGCAGCTCTACACACTGCTTCAGTGATGTCAGCACAGCTGGTCAGAGCAGTAGGAAGAATGTTGAACTTGGAATTGGAACTCCGAAGATAACATTAGGTGTTCACGTGACACTGTGGGCTTGAGCATCCTAAAAAGCCTTAGATCACTTTCCACTTTGAGGCTATAAGAGGTCATACATAGATGTATGTATGACCTTTAATGGTCATACATAGATGGACTCAGTATAGGAGATTCTTACATCTTGACAGTGCTAAGGGGAGGGATTAGCTTCCAACTGACTCATGTGTTTGGCCTCTTGCAACCCAGAGTTTTCCAACGAATTGCATAGCCAATGACTGACCCAGCCTAGTGGATGAGGGTTGTCCCCTCCAAAAGGAGTCTTTCCTTTACAAAAAGCAAATCAAAACTTAAACCTCTGAATGGAAAATGGAAGCATCGAACCTGTGGAGATGAAACAGTCAATGGGAGGTGGGAGATTTAGGTGGAAACTGGAGGTATCCCATGAGCCCTGGGGTTGAGTGCTCTCCCTAAGCAAGATCATATTGGGGGGAGGGCACTGGCCAGATCTGGTATCAGCTTGCAATGATTAAGAATGCCCCCACTCCAGTCCAAGGGGGTCTTACCTGTGAGGCCCTGCTGAGAAGCCAACATTTCTCTCATATCATCTCTGTCCTCTGAGGTCTTTTGAGAAAGTTTGGTTGTGGGCCAGCAGGGTGCTGCCCTCACACTACCCTGGGCCTGTGGGAGTGTGGCCCCTGCACTCTACAGATAGTATCTTGGGTTAGAGCTGCAAAAGTATAGAAGAGCATGGGAGAGAGATGTATTTTCCAGCTCTGCCCAGCCCACTCCCAGCATTTAATCTGACTGGCTAGGGCTCCTTTCTTCAGGGACTTGTGGGCTTGGTTCTCTGGGACATTGTTGCCATGGGGCACAGCACTAGTTCCTAAGTATCTGGCTTACCCCTTTCTATTCTAGAGCAGCTAGAGCACTATTCTATGGTGTTCATTTCGAGCCTTCTTTGGTTCTCACTGGTTAATCAATCAGCAAATATTTGTTGAGTGACCTCTGTGTGCAGATCATTGTTTACATTGCAGTTGAGGGAAATGAGCTACACACAGCAGGAAAACTGGCAACAGTAAGAAGCTGTGTTCAGAAAGGGCCAAGGAAATGGATCAGCCATTTATTGTAGGAATTCAGGAAGGGGAAAGTCACAGAGGGCTAATCTGGTCCCCAAAGGCCTTCATTCAAGCAGTTATTTATTACACACTTGTCTTATGCCAGGCACTTTGCTAAGGGCCTTCATAGACCACTGTTACATATAATGTCTATGAGAAAATAACCTGAGCAATATTGTTTTGTTTTGTTTTTGTAATGGATAAGTAACTTTCCCAAGATGACACAGATGCTGAAGGTTTCTGACTCTCTAGAGCCTGGGCAGTTAGTAGAGAGGTGGGTGGACAAGGCAGGTCCTCCAGGCAGGTAAAGAGCCTGTGCAGACCCGTGGGGATGAGAGCTGTAAGGCACGGACCTGGATGTTTGAATGACAGTGAGCAATGTTGGTTTGCTTTGCTTTCCTTTCCAAGCTGTAGGCCAACCACCTGTCCTGCTTGTGCCCCTGGGAGGCTTAGCACAGAGCCGGACTCGGTGTACTCACGCAGGCCAGTGGCATGGGCCTCTTGGGATTCCAGATGAGAATGTGAGCGGCCGAGTTTCCTGCTAGTGCTGTGGCTCTTCTTGACTCAGACCTGAGGTGTCAGCCAGGGGTGAGGGCGAGGAAAGGCATGCTGTCCATCCCATGACCTCATTGTCTAGAAGCCTGCAGCAAGCAGGAAGGGATGGAGTGGTGATGGCATAGCACTGGCTGACTCCTGGTTTCAGGAGGACCCCAGCTCCTGAATGGTCATTAGAGCTAGAAAGGATGAGAGACCATCCATCCTGGCCCCATTGGACCCATGAGGAAACCGAGGCCCCAAGAGCAGACAGGTGGAGCTCAGGGTGCTTTGTGTGGCCAGTTACAGCTATAAGCAAGGCTTGTGACTCCAGGTCCAGTGACCCTTCCTGGACTCGTGAGTGGGGGCAGGGAAGCTGCCTGTGACTCCATAAGGAGCCCATCACCCCGCACCACAGGGTGTCCCCTCCCCGAATGCCCCAAAGCCCACAGTTGTCCTGGCTCAGCTTGCCTCTCCGTTTATTCATTTACTCTATGATCAATATAGAAATTACTTTGCCAGCATAGTAATTGCACCAGGAGACTTTTTTTTTCTCCCTAAGAGTAGGGCTGGACTCATACTCCTGACCTTTTTGGTGTTGGTCTGCAGGTCTCAGTATTTGTCACCTGACACCTTAAAAAGCCTCTCTTGCCCGCTTCTATTCCTCTTTGACAGGAATGCACTTTATCTAAATGCAGCTTTACTTTACCAAAGGAACACCCAGAAAAGGTCCTCTATTCCTTGTACTGTTACTAAAATGATGAATCGTCAGGTCCACGGTGATTATAACATCAAACCAGATCCTTTTATGTCATCATGGCTTATTAAGGTACTGACACTGATACTCCTGAGAAACATTCCTCCATTCCTCGGCCAGGACTCGCCCAGCACCTGACTGGCTCCAGTCTCCCCTTCCACTCCCCCAGGGGCACCAGTACCATTTCCCTGAGGTCTAGAGGATCAAGACATGGAGGCAAGGAGCCAAAGGCTGCCCAGGAGCAAGGGCTGCAACCCCCCAGGCGCTGCCATTCCTCTTGTCCCACTTCTGACACCACGCTCCACCCTCCCTGAGTTTCCTGGCTGGGAAGCCAAAAGAGCAGCTCTCTGTTCTGCCTTGGCCCTCCTGAGGCCAGCAACAGACTTAGGTCCTAGGTTTAGGTCCCAGATCCTCCACTGATTAGCTGTGTGCCCTGGGCGCAGTTATCTAATCTGTTTTGCAGTTGAGGAAAGCAGGTCTAGAGATAAATACCTTCTTACTTTCCTCATAAGATAGTTGCAAGCATTAAACTAGATAAACTAAGGGCACAATCAACTCTCTGTACGTGTGATATCATCATCATCAGAGTAAGAGCCAAGTCTGTGATACTGACTGACTGCTGGAGTTACAGAGAATAGTAGCAACTAGAAGACAAAACCGTTTTTACCATCCACTCTCTCACGGGGAAGGCTGTGATTGGAGCAAAGAGCAAAAATGTAACATCCTGACCATGGTGGAGAGGGGAAAAATGTGGGCTTGAGTCTGGTAGCCCTCGGCCAACTTGCAGGCTTCTCAGTGTTGTCCTCCTCATTTGTAAAGCAGGTGCCCCCACCACATGCTGGTGGGACGGTGAGCCCATCCAGAATGTGCCGTGGGTGCTCACTGACTGCCCCTCCCTGTCCTGTCAGAGTCTCTGTGCCCCAGCGGGCAGTGGGCACTGACTGCGGCCCAAGAGATGGTGGCCTGTACTCAGAGAAGAGAGCAGTGGAGTAGTTGAGGCCTGAGGTCCTTGGTCACCCTGCCAAGTGGCCTTCTGCCAGGGTCCCTCACGGGTGAAAGAAGAAATTACCTCTCTTCCCCCTTATATCTAAGTGACTCACTCTTTTGAGGACAGCTGGGCCCCCCGTCTGGGTGTCCCTGAGCAAGGTGACTGAACCCTAGGTGCAAATCAGAAGGAGCAAGCCTAGGCCACAGGGGGTGGCCTCTGTTTCCATCCTCCCCTGCGCCTCCCTCATGGAGGGGAGGAGCCACAGGAAGGAGGGCTGGGGTGCTCCTGCCTGTGGTCCAGGGCCAAGTCCTGCACGTGGGCAGCCCTTCCCTCCTGCATTCCCAGGTGGCTGGCACGAGTCTCTCCCCCTGCCTGGCCCCGAGGATAGACTGAGGCTGCGAGCTGCAGAGAGCCAGTCCCTGGTTGGGGCCAATTTGTATAATTCAGTCAACAGTCACTGGTCACCTTTCGTGGGCTGGACAGTCAGGAAGCTAGGCAGTGAAGGAAAATGAAAATACATTTAGGGATGGACAGGCTTGGGACTGTGTTGTAGAAACATGAGCAGGGCCCTGAGCCTGGGGCTTGCACAGCAGCTCTGACCAGTGAGAAAAATCGTGTTTAAACTGAGTTGTGCTTGGCAAATAGGAGTGAGGGTGAGAGTAGGGCTGTGGGAATGGCCTGGAGGCACTGGAGCTCAGTGTGGAAGGAGGAAGCCTCAGCATTCCTGGAGCATTTGGGGAAGTGGTAAGAGGAGGCTGCGTGGGTAGGTTGCAGGGGCTGGATCAAGAATGGCCTCGTGGCTGTAGGTTTTCTTCTAAAGGCAGTGGGGGTCACTGAGACCATTGAATGAGTGACATAATCAGATCCACAGACTGAACAGACCTCTTGGTGGCTGGATAGACTGGTGGTGGAGCCCGTTAAGACCTCGCTGGGAGGGAGATGAGACATTTCTCTGGACACAAGCTGCCTAAGAAACCCTGCTGTAGCCCACTGGTCAAGGAGGGAAGGTTAGAGACAAGGTGATAAAGAACCTGGGATGAGGGACGAAGAGACTCAGAAGGCGAGTGGACAGCGTTTGCAGCCCTGTTGTGACTGGCAATCCATGTGGGCAGACGCCTGACTCTGTTCCCACCAAGTGCTGCCAGCAGTGGGGAGAGGGGTCAGGGAGAGCAGAGTGCCAGGGAGGGCAGGAGAGATGCCATCCTGAGCCTGGCACAGAGCAGACCCTGACTACCTCCGTCCTGTGTGCGGATGCTCAGGTAAGTGAGATTTAAAGCCAAAGGATGCGAGCCAGCTTGCAGATACTTAGTTTCGCTTACCTGCTGCCCTCGTGTGCCAGGGGGTCCAGAGCTCCACCAAAGGGGGTGTGGGGGCGTGGGGAAAATGGCAGGATAGGTTGTAGCTCATCTGTCTCTGCTAAACCTTTCCATTCACTTTCCACCACCCTCCCCGCCGCCTATCCACCTGCCCACCAAGATGCCAGAACTTTCGATGTCAGGAGTAGACTGTCAGCAAGAAAGGAAGAGGGAGTGTTGCGTAGGCCTGCCGCACAGCCCCAGGCCCCTGCCTTGTGTCGCCCCAACAAGGACCAGTTTAGTTGCTCTGAGCCATTTGGAGCCGTTCCTCTGAGGGGTGGGGGGGGGGCTGTCTGGGAGGCATGTTGCTTCTTCCTGTGACTGTCCCGTGGAAGTGAGGGTAACAGTCCTTTCTTGGGCATAAAGTGTTCTCGGGGGCACTGATGCCTTCTGAGATACTGGTTTTGCCGAATCATCAGGAACAGGCTCTGGGGTAAGATAAGAGGTCCTGGCACAGCCCTGATTCTCAGGGATGTTGTGATTAGTATATTGCACTTAATGGGGGCTGGGTGGGCTATCTGTAAGTGCCTCCACCCCACCCCACCCCACCCCGTGCTCCAGATGGGAGGCGTTGGGCCCCGTGGGGGACACGCATGCAGTCGGGCAGGCGTCCTCCTTCACTTCAGCCCAGAAATGCCAGGGTCTCCAGTGGGCTGTGGGAGTCAGCCCAGACCCGTCCAGGCAAGCACTCAGCCTGGCCCTGCCTGCCTCCCACCTGAGCCTCCTCTCCAGGCCACCTGCCCATTCCCCCTCCTCACAGTCCTCAGATCTCTGTCAGCTGACTGACTGTCAGTGTTCCACTCAATTTCTGCCTTTCCTCCGAGGCCCTTCCTCAGGCCCCAGGGCTGGTGTCTCCCATGCCCAGACTCCGTTAGAGCTCTGCCGCATGGCATGGCACCTCACCGTCTGTTTGGCCTCCCCGGTGTCTACCTTGCCTTCAGCTGGAGCTGTCTTGTGGTGTGGAACGTGAGTGGGTGCTCAGGGGCCACCTGACTTGAGATCAGAGCTAGGAGGACTGCCTGGTAGATGAGTTTGTTTTCTGTTTCCCAAATCCTGGGCAGGGGCCCAGAGGGGTGCCAGCATTCTCTCTGCCAGTAAGTTTCAGCCGAGGGAGGACTTGCAGCCTGGGGCTGGAGGAGGAAGTGCAGTGCCCGGGAAGCTGTCCTGGGAGCTGTTAATCTCCTGGACTCTGGCCTCAGGGCTTCCTTCCCTGCAGTTCCTAGATTCCAGGTGCCTTGCCCGCTGTCCCCAGGTTTCCTGCCTCCATTTCCGGTGGGGTCACCAGTCCTCAACACCCTGTGTCCCTCCCACCTGAGCTGGGCTGACTGCCAGTAGCTCTAGCTACAGAACCTGTCACCGAAGGCCCTCTGGGGGATTACAGACCCGGAGCCTGCTCTCCGCCTTCTGGAACTGATCCTCTCGAGAGGGCTGCAGGAGCAGGGGCCAGATCAGGGCTTTCTCCCAGGAAGGCCAGGCTCACCTCACGGCTTTCTGCAGCCCCTGCAGCCCCTGTGTCCTCCCCGCCAGAATAATGGGGATGGGGGGCACAGGTGCCATTACAAGACAGCATTGCTTATGCTGTTTACCTGTGTCCTAGCAGGGGCTGAATGCAGGGTCCTATCTCAGAGGTCCTTTTCTGAGGAGGGGGTGGCCTTCCTCATAAGAGCTCTGGGGGTAGAAGCTGCGGGCCTTGCATGGGGGTGGGGGGTACACAGGCACAGACGCCAGCTCCTCTTACTCACCTCACGTTTTTTTGTCTGTTCAGACTGGAGGCCGGCGCTGAATCTTGCTGCCCTGGACTGTGCTGATGAGACCAATAACGCTGTCTGCAGAGACTTCAACATCCTTGGCTTCCCGACTGTGAGGGTGCGTGGCAACTGGGGAGGGTGGTCCTGGGGGACTGGTGCCAGTGGAGCAGCCATTCCTGCTGCCCTGGCCTGAGCTCTTTGGGCTTGATCTGCTTAAACCAGCCCCTAAAGTCCTGTCCCTTTGCTTGAAGAGACATCAGCTTTAGGGGCAGAAAAGGATGTGAATTGGGAGGCAGAAAAGATAGAGGTTCATTGGTCTGGCAAGTTCTGCCCTTTATAAGGGGAAGGGGCCGGGGTGGTGGGGGCGCAGTGTTGGGATGGGCAGGTTCAGCTGCTGGATTTGAGCTGTGAAGTGATCATCACCTGGAGCTCCCAGCTCGCCAGGGGCTTTCTCGCATTCCCCACCTCCCGACTTCCTAGCTACAGAAGTCTCACTTAGCCCTGTAACACCAGGGTTTAGGCGCCGACCCACCCATGGGCAGGATCCGGGCTGGGGTGCCTAAGGTCCCGCAGAAAGCACGGCAGGCCTTGTGCCCATCGGGCAAGTGCCTCGAACCCAAGTAGCTTGCCAAGGCCCCAGGCAGCTGGGGCCCCATAGCTGAGCCGCTCACCTGCGCACAAGGGCTCTGTCTCCCCAGCTTCGGGTGGGGCCCTGCCTGCCAGCCTGCCTACCAGTGGGTCATCAACAGCTTAATTAACATGGGAGCAACTTCCAGGGCTTTCTGGAAAACCCAGAGCAGCAAAGCTGTGCAGTTGTACTTTATGCCCTCCCCAGGGCTCAGGCCCTGCTGTAATCTAGTTTTCTTCCAAGTTAGAGAATCTGGATCTCTCTCTCTCTCTCCCTCCAGCCACCCATTGTTAGCCATCTCCCACCAGAATGGCATCTTGAGAAGCAGTTTCCTCTCTAGCCACTAGGAATAATCAGGAAATGCCTTGGAAAGCTAAAATACTAAGATGTCCCTAGAACAAGACATCTGTGAGCTGAGGAGCCTCACATTCCACGCAGAACCATAGCTGAATCTCAGCCTAATCACTGTAAGAGAATTCATGTGGAAAGCAAGACCCCAGGCCCCTTCAAGAAACCCAGCTCTACCTGCATCTGACCTGCCCTGCTGGGTTCAGGGTGTGCATGGTGTAATGCAGCAGCCTCCTGTGCTCCCACTCCCACTCAGGGTCGGGGCTGAGGCCCCAGGTTTAGCAGAGGCCAGGCTGCGCCGGGGAATAGCGTGGTGAGCCAACAGCTACAGCCCTATCATTTCAAGGCAGCCACAGGGGGGTCGCTTGTCCATCATCGCTGGGCCTCTGTGATGAGGCCATGGCCTTATCCTTGGCCCCAACATTTGTAACTTTTTACTTTCATATTCAAAATTACTCTGGTGGTGGTGGACAGGACACTCTGTTCCCACTGAGCCCAGACCAGCAGTCCCGAATGGGAAGCCGTGGGAACACTGTGCTGGCAGCAGGCGTCCTCTTCCACAGGCTGATGCTGCCCTCGGCGAGGCCCAGGCACAGGGGTGCAGCCACTGCCCAATCTCCGGGAAGGAGATTGGCATCAGTACCATTGCCAGGTCAGGATGTGAAGGAGGCAGCCCAGAGAGTCAGGTGACCCCAGGGTGCCTCTCTGCCTACCCAAGTCACGCAGCACACACAGCCTGAATGCCTCCAGTGGTTAATCATCTTCTCATCCACCCAGCTGGCTATGGGAGGGCCCTGAGCTGGTCTTGACCTTCCCCTACCTCCACAAAGGCAGCATGTGGCTGGGCCAGGCACTTCCGTGTCAGCAGGGAGAGGCACTTGGCGTCCTGTCTTTAGGACTCTAGTCCAGGGGCAAGTGGATCAAGCTCCGGGTGCGTCTCTGCTCCAAGGCCTATGCAGTGGCTCTCAGACATGTTTACTGGGATGAGCTGCAGCAAGAGAGATAACATTTTACAGTGCAGTCTAGAAGTTGGTTGGTATCTATTAGCACCAAAACAAAAGTTTCATAAAACAATATTGATTCTTCGGAAGTATAGTACACACTGGTATTTTTCATTCTGTTTATGTTTGTTAAATACTGGCTGTGACTCACTAAATTGATTTTACAACTTACTACTGGGTTGCATCTAGTGTTTGGAAAACATTATTCAAACAGATTCCAGATCTCTAGAGATTCTGGCCCTTGAAGGACCTGGCATGCCTCATGGGCACCAGCGTAGAGTGTAGAGGCTGGCCTGGCTGCCAGCAGCCCACTGCCCTGTTTGCTGTCACCTGGGGACTGGAGTTTGCCCTTGCTCCTACCCATAAAGGCTGTTGGAGCTCTAGAATGAGAACACATACCGGACGGGGAAGAGAGTGTTGCCAATGTGATGGGGACAGGCCCACACAAGAGCCTGGCTACCCCCAGTGACATGTGTCATTGTCCCTTTCCTCTGCCTCCTGCCCTTTGTTACTGTGAACAACAATGAACTTCCACCAGCCCATCCTGTTTTGCCAACACTTACTGTGCTGGGCGGGCCTGCTATGTCAGGTCCCAGGAAGGCTGGAGCCAGAGCCCAGCAGGAGGAAAACAAGGGTTGAGGGAGGGAGGGACTAATTTGCAGCTGCCTCTGGCTGGCACTTGGGGGCCTAGGGGCTGGAACTTTGGGTGGGGGTTTTTGCTGTGGACCAGGATCCTTTGAGGCCAAAGACCTGGCTGGGATCAGGATTATGGAGAGCGGCAGCTCTGGGGTGGAGAGAAGTCTTCCCTTTGAAGGATTCTGAGGCAATAATTGACATGGATTCAAATCCCGGCTCCACTGCTTCCCAAATGTGACTTGGGAAGTTGCTGGACGGTGCCTCAGCAGTAGGCCTAAGTTCCCTTGTCTGAAAACAGGATGATAGTGTTTACCTAGTCAGATTGTTGCCGTGTATGAAATGAGGTCCTGTGCATGAGAATGCTGAGAGTGCATGAGAATGCTGAGAGTAGGGGTTCAGTCAGGGCTAGTCATCTCCCTTCCCATTGCCCTGTTTCCTCCCTGTGGGGCCCCATGGTCGCTCCTCAGGGCACTGCCTTCTGGGCATCCCCAACTTTTGAATGAATGTGTGCTGGTGGGAGAGGCGGGACCCAGGAGTCCTGGCAGCGGAGGTATGAGAGTCCCGTGCTGGCCGGCAGTGAGCAGCTGTACTCGATAGATGCAGGAGGGGTTCACCGGGCGTACGGAGCTCTTTTCCTCATCCTTCCGAGGAGTTCATGGAGGCGGGAGAGTTCTATTTGGTGGCTGGGCTTGGCTAGGAGAGGGGGTGTGTGGGCCAAGGAAGTGACCAAAGGTCCCATGTGGGTGGGACCGGGTGGCATGTTGAGAAGACTGGCTTGGCCTGTCTGGAGCAGAGACTCTCCAGCAGCTTGGAGGCAGGCCAGCGGGAAGGGAGCCCAGTAATGGCAGGTCCTTGAATTCAAGGCTGGGAGTGTGGACACCCTGCGGGGGTACAGAGCCAGGGCCGTTACCTTATGTGGCTCTTGTTAGAGGATGAGATGTCAGGGAAGTGACAGGACTCAGAAAGACATCCCCTGCCTCTCTCTGAAAAAAAGAGATGGGTCTCTCGACAGTGACCTGCCCTCTTCTAGCTGTCTCTCTGCTGACAGTCCCAGTGCGGGGGGTGGGGGTGGGGTTCCACTTGTGGATCCTCGAGCTCATCACAGGGTATCTGGAGACTGGATCGTTTTCCTTAAAACGTATTTTAAAAGCCTGGATTTGGAAGTATCTTGGTCACCACTGAAAGTGAACCTTTCCATTCAGCCTTCTGTGACCTCTGGAAGGCAGGGCCCTTGGTGGTGATGGTGCTTCTGATGGGTTGGTACAGACCCACCTAGCACTGCCTGGCCTCCTGCATGTGGGGAGACACGGAGGTCTTCCAGGACTCCAAGTCTGCGGGGGAAATTAGCTCCTGTGTAGAGCGATGGGAGGAAAGGGCCAGGTGCTGGCTGCTCCCACAGGAAGGAAGGCTCAAGCTGGAGTCTTCACAGCCTGTTTCCAGGGAGTCGTGGTTTTCCCTGCATAGCGCACACGCCTCCAACAACTGACTTAATAAGGTTGCTTTTAATCAGAGGACAGAAATGTGCCCTGACTAGACTTTAATATGATTTTCGCATGAGCTTCCAAGATGATCAAAGGGCAGAGAGTCTCTATTCAGCTGAACAGATGTCTTTTGAGTGCTTCCCTGTCGTAGACACTGTGCCAGGCACTGTGGGGCTTGCAGAGATGAATAAGCTATAGTCCTGCTCAGGGAGGTGGGTGGAAAGTTCAGGTTTCAGGTCCACAGTAGCTGAAGTGGAGGGAAGGTGGGGCACGGGGAGCTAAGATCCTGGAAAGCCTTGAGAGAAGTGACTGGAGACATTATTCCCTGACAGTGAAGAGTCACCCGGAAGAGCTGTGAGGGGACGTGATGGTATCAGACCAGAGTCGTGCCTTAGAAAATTAAGCAGAGTGGCAGCGGGAGCATGGGTTGGGGAATGAAAAGATCCAGTACATCAAAATCCCTGAGCTCACGAAGGAAAACAGCAAGGACTGATGCAGTAGTCCAGGAACTAGGAGGCAGGCCCTGGTCCAGGTGAGGTGACTGGTCTGGAGGACGGTTGAAGAGGTATCACTAAGGTCCATGTCATAGAACATGCCAGCGTGCTGGAGGGTGGGGGCTGTGGGAGAAGGAGGGGCTGGTCTGGGTAACGGGGAAGAGGACCATGGGGTGAGCAGGAGCACAGGTGGACAGACAGGCCTGGGGAGGTGACTCAGTCCTGGAGAGGGTGTGTGTGCAGGGTGCCCTGACCCCTGCGTGGAGGCCACCGAAGTCTAGGACAGTTGAGGAACTACGACAGAGGGTTCAGACTGCAAGTCACTGACAAAGATGACGCTGGCAAGGGGACAAGCAATAGGTATGTTCCTTCAAGCCCCTGATGATCCACCAGTGTGAGCATGGTGTGACAGGGCCTCGCAGGGCTTTTTTAACAGAAGAGTGTCATGATCTGATGCGTGGTTGTAGGAGAGCCTGGGGCAGGGAATGGCGAGGGCCCGGACACGGGAGAAGGGCCACGGGTGAGGCTGTGAGGGGGGCCACAGAGACCTGGTCAGTGTCAGGCAAACCGAGGGAGGCGGCGATGTGATGTAAAAGGCAAAGAAGGAGGCACACTGTGGCTGTGAGGGAAACCAGGCGGCTGGAACACCAGATGTGCAGAGAAGGCAAGAGGGGGAAGGCCACAGGACTGGCCGTAGAGCAGGTCCACTGAGCTTCCCCAGAGCAGTGTCCGCGGGGTGTGGGTGCACAAGCCGCAGCCACCCAGGCGTGGGAATGAAGAGTGGGCGAGCTGGGGTGAGAGTGGGCACTGTTTTGAGAAACTTGGCAGTTCAGGGAAACAGGAAATGCAGTAACTGGGGAAGGATGCAGAGACACTGTATTCCCATCTTCCTTTCCTTCCTGTCATTAGAAAAAATTAAATTAGGAGGATAATGAATCTATTTGTAGGCATAGATCTGGTAGAAGAAGGGAAAGAGGAAAGAGAGGTGAATTGATAGGGAAAGGTTCCTAAAGAGCAAGAGCCACAGCTCAGGGGGTGGCATTGTTCTGGAAAGCAGAAGGGCAGCTTCTGGGACAGATGGGAAGGCTGTGTGACAGCACGGAGGTAACTGGAGGGGGGGCGGGGGGCCTTCCCTGTAGCCCTGCATCTCGTAGGGTGGGGTTTCTTGGAGTCCCTGCATTCCTCTGGGTCACTCTTGCTAACTGAGGCTCCAGCTCCATGCTGCCCAGGACTGGGGCCTTCAGAAGGCTCTGTGGGGACCCAGGGAGGCTGCCTTTTTTTGAAGATAATGCCAGATTGGGGTGACCCGGTGGCTGGTGAAGAAAAGCTAATAGGCTACTTTTTAGTAACTGGAAATAACAACTGTAACTATGGGGAGGCCACACAGTTTAAGGCATCATGATTCCAGAAGTGTTTTTATGCCTGTGGAGACAGCTTAGTCTGTCTGTCTGTGCATGGACAAGGACACCATTGCCATGAATAACCGCAGCTGTGACGATTGTCCTCCTGGCTATTATTTGCAAGCAAACCAGACCCCAAGAGGAGTGTTTAGAATTTTGTTTCTGAGAAATGATGTTGGTCCATCAATGCCTTAACATGCTTTATTTACTTACCTCATGTTCCAATCCAGGAAATTTGTGATCATTTTTACAAGTATTAAGGGAACATATAATTTTATTTTCAAAATTTGTTCAATAATTTCAAGGAACACTACTATAAATATATATGGTATGTATATAGTGGATGGTTTTCTTCCAGAATAAAAATTTATATTAGTGCTCTAAAAAGAGAGAGAATAAAGCAGTTGTCATCTGTTAGGGTCCAGATGAGGTCAGTGGGAGGAGGAGAAGGTTGCCGGTAGGGAGAAATGGGCGGCTTCTCTGCATCTGTGATCATCTGGGAGAACGGGTACAGGGGACCTCTGGATTTTATTTTTCTGCCTACAAATGACTGGAACAAACAAATAGCTGGTGAATGTTTCCTAGTGGTTAAAAGGTAGGCTCAGGGAAGGGGATGGTGATGGTGATGCATTTATCATTTATTGGCTCCTTACTCTATGTACCAGGTTCAGTGCTAAGTAAGCACTTTAGATGTATTGTGTTTGAATCCTCACAGCAATTCTTCAAGGTAGATGGTGTCATCCTCATCTTCAAGATGAGAAAGTTCATAGAGGTTAGTAGATTGCCCAGGGTCACACAGCAAGAATGTAGCAGAGCCAGCCCTGAACCCAGGTCTTGTAGACGCAGGGCCTGCACTCAACCACCAGCTTAGGGTAAGGCCAAGCGGTCCTGCTGTTGGGGGCAGAGTCCCAAGGTAGCCACAAGTGGACCTGAGGTTGGGACCTCAGGAAGAGTCCTCTTCCCAGCCTTCAGGCTCGTTCCCAGGCAGTTAAGTGTCTGTCTGTCAGGACAGCTGAACTCTGTCCTCTCCTGAGCCCAGGAGCTCTGGTAGCTCAGTCACCACTTAGGCAGAAGCTCAGATTCGGGGGTGTTGTCCTCTCTTCTTTCTGTCCCTTCTCCTAAGGATGTGACAGACTGGGCCTGGATGCCCTGGGACAAAACGATGATATAAATTGGCCTGTAATAGACTTGTTTCTTCAAGGGCTTGGGCCCATCTTTGTAGGGCCTGACCTGGAGAGCCTGCCCTTCGTGCAGTGTCGGCCACGCCAGGCTGGGAGTTCTCAGTGCCCAGGACACCCGCCTCTGAGCCCTTCTTCCGACAGAAGGAGCAAGGACAGATTGCCTCAGAGGGCGGCTGACGTTTTCCAGGGATGTTTGAAGTGACTTGACTTGACTTTTCCAGTTGGGTCTGCATCATTCATTCCTGCAGTAAATATTTCCCAGCCATTATGTGAGAGGGCCTGGTGATTTACAGACAGTCCACCGCTAGTAAATGCATGAGCAGCTGCCTGCAGCTTGCCCTGGTGCTTCCAGCTGCTGGGGGTAGGGAGTCGGTCGAGAGCACCAGGAATGGATCAGTGTCCAGCTCCTCCCTGCTCTCATTTGACAGAAGAAGAAACGGGGGCTCAGAAAAGTTGAGTGATTTGCCCAGGGTCACCCCCCCAAGTAGCTGGGCCTTAACTGCAGGTCCTCCCGGCTCCAGTGTTGTGTTCTTAGCCCCGTGTCGCTGACCTTTTGCCTGTGTGTTTGCTTCCAGTTCTTTAACGCCTTTTCCAAGGATGGCTCGGGAACAACTATGTCAGGTGGGTGTCCTGGCTCGCCGGCCCAGTTGGCGGTGTCAGTGTCTCCTCTGCCTCCTCTCTCCCTTTTTTCCGGGTTTCTTCTGGGTCTATGAGGTGAGGAGTTCCCCAAGTGAGACAAATTTATGTTTTCCCAACCACGTCGTTCCCAGCCAGCCCTGAAGCCGAGGCTGAGGAGCCCTTCCGTGCCCACCCAGGGTCCTGAGGAGCAGGGCAGGTCTCCAAGGCTCCAGAATAGCCCCTGTGTCAAAATGGAGGTGGCATCCACAGGGGCAGACCAGGCAGTGCCCTGGGAAAGCCCTCAGGTCTGAGGGATTCTCTCCTGCCGTCTAAGGGAGGGGCTCCTGGTGTGACTTGGGGCCTCAGGGGCAGCCCCCACCCCTCCCCCAGGGGACTGCCACCTGCCGCCTCTTTCAGGACTGGCTCGTGCCCGGGCCCTAGCTCCTGTGAGGGAAGCTGACCAGGGCATGGGGGCCTGCCCTCCTTTTCCCCTCATGCCCTCCACCCTGTCCATCTTCATTTGCAGTGGCAGGTGCTAATGTGCAGACGCTGCGGGAGAGGCTCATTGACGCTCTGGAGTCCCATACCGACACATGGCCCCCTGCCTGTCCCCCACTGGACCCTGTCAGGTATGGCGGCTGGGAAGCGTGGGCCAGGATCACAGGCCCAAGGGTAAGAGGCTGGTGGGGGCTGCAGGGCAGACGCCTCAGTGCCTGCTGTGGAGTGGCTGGAGGTCCTAACCAAGGAGCCTTGCCTTCCCGGGGCTGACAGGTGCCAAGGCCCATCCCACCGGGTGGGAGGGAGAAGATGGGGTGGGGGGTTGCCATGTCATCCCCACTGCTGCATCTCACAGCCTTAAATGCACAGACTCACAGCCTTCAGAACCTCAGGGAGGTCACATACCCTTCGGAGGCAGGGCAAGGGTTGGGGGACTGAGAGGAGGAAAGCCCTGTCTCTCCGAAATGAAGGTAGTGGTTTCTCTGAGCAGTGGCTGTGACTCTGCTCCCTGTGCTGCAGAGCACAAGGCACAGTGGCTGGTGACCTATAGCCACCTGCCAAGCAGGCTTCCAGGATTGCCTCTTTTCTAGGAAAATGAGATACAGATACATGGCGTCTTGCCCCAACTCTCCCACAGAGGGAGACGGGGAAACTGAAAACACTAGGTCCCACACTTCCTGATGGAAACTCAGGATAGGATAAAGCCCATCTCAGGGACTCTGGCCAAGAAGGAATAAATCTAGGCACCAGTAAGGCCTGCTCGAGGGCCAGCCTTAGAGTACATTGAGGGTTCCAGGTGCTGAGAAGGCTCACGAAGCAGGCACGGTGTGTGCGGCCCTCTGAGCTTGTGCAGTGGTGTCCTTGAAAGCATAGTCCTGCTGAGCGACTGTGTTTCCAAGTGCCAGTTGGGGTTGAATCCAACTCGCAATGACTCTTTTATCATCTCTCCCAATCCCCACCCTCCCAGAGGGGCTCCCAGAGACCCGGGACCCCTCACATAGCTTTGGTGTGGTTCGGTATTCCACAACTCTCTGGGAAACACCCACGCCGACCTGTACCCTTATTTCTTCTGTCCGTTTCCCACTGAGCATTTCTCTGTCTCTTTCTTACACACACGCATCCCTCAGGGTGCATTTCAGCCCCAGGGGATCTCAAGAGCAATGAGTCAGGTAAACCTGCCCATCTCTGTCCAAGTGATCCTCCCACAGGGCTTAGGCAGGAGGCAGAGATCTGCCGTGAGCAGTGAGCAGCCTCCTCCAGGAGTCCGGGGTGCAGGGGAGTGGCGTGCTGGCTGCCAGATAGGACTTGATCTTTTGCCAGCCTAGGGCAGGTCTGGTGAAGTAGTCCAAGAGGGCCTCTGATGCCTCCCCAGAGGCTGTTGGTATCTGCAACACATCTTTATCTGCCCACTGGGGTTGCACCCTGGCCCCCACACCGCCAGCATATCCATTTGTACATGTCACTGGGCTGGGCTTCAGCATTGGCCCCAGTATTCCTTCTTTTTATTTGGAGGTGATCATTGCCATGTTACTGGATCCAGTAGAGGGAAATAGCTCATCAGGTTGGGGATAAAAAGAAGATACAGTCTCCTAATGCCTTCTCCCTCATAGCCTCTTAGGCACGTGTGATGATGTTCTGCTTTTAACTGGAATAAGGGAACAAATCATTTTTGTATCATGCAGTTATTTTCTGTTGAAATTTTGAGTTTTTGTAACAATTTAGCTTAATTCTCTAATTTGGGGGGATAGTAAAATTTGCTTTATTAATTTCCACCTTTATTCTGTACCTCAGTTCCTTCACCTTAAAGGAAGGAGATTGGATTGGATATCTTCTAAGATCTCCTGCATGCAGGACTTTGTGATTCTTAAATTCCTTTTTTATGACCTCTCCAGGAGAGCAAAAGAAAATCTCCCAGTTGGTGGTGACTTGCCACAGATCAAGGCTTGTATCTAATGGGTACTAAGTGTAAGTCTCTTAGAGGACCAGTAAAACCATACTCACTAAGCTTGGGTCATACCCAGAGCATAGACAGCTGGTCTCAAAGCATCCCACACCTTCTTGACTCTGGAGAGAGACAGAATGGAAAAAAATCAACAAGGTGGGTGGGATGAAAAACCAGGGTTAGGTAGCAGAAGCAGCATCCTTTGAGACTAAGGGTATGGATTGCTCCCACTGAGGGGTTGGCAGGAGGAGATGTCCAGGAAGCCTTGTGTTGCAACAGAGGCAGGATCTGCATGGCTGTACTTGCAGTTCTGTGGCAGCCACATCTAATGTCCTCAGCAGTTTTGCTTTATTCCCACCAGCTGTGGAGAGTGACTGCCAGCATTGTCTCTTGCAGGCTGGAGGAGATTGATGAATTCTTTGCAAGAAACAATGAAGAGTACCTGGCCTTGATCTTTGAAAAAGAAGGCTCCTACGTGGGTAGAGAGGTGAGCTGCCCTCAGGGCGCCCCGCAGCTCCTGGGTAGCCTTTGGGAGAGAGAGCCCAGGGAGTTTGAGAGCCAGCCAAGTCCTGCAAATTCTCAGGTCTCAGCTCTGTGCACATCTTAGCTCAGCACTGGCCTGACCCCTGCTGGGAGAAATGGGAAGTGTCGCACTGGTCCTTTTCTGTTTTAAAACTTAAAATGTCTCTTACCTTCCTCATTGAAACTAAATATAACACTTGCTGTCTAACGAGCATTGGCCTAGTTTGCTGACACACAGTATTGCTCATCTTCACAATAAATGAAGATGATCAAATAATATGTGGAAGATCACACAGCCAGTGAATTGGTAGAGCAGGGCTATGAACCAGATCTGTCTGCATCCGAAGCGCATGTTGTCTCCACACTCCCCCACTCCTGAAGATTGGATAAAAAATCGGGGAGATGGGGAGCGGAACACCAAAGACCATCCAGTCCCTCCTGATGAGATGGGGCCCCTTAGTAGGTGAAGCAGATAGAAGAACCAAGTAGGACTGAATTGCCACTCCGTCACCTGCATTACACGTCCATGATCAAGCCCCTCAACTTTGCTCAGCCTCTGCCCTCTGTCTATAAAGCCATGATAATTACCTTTCTCAGAGCGTTGTTGGGAAGGTCTAATGAGGCGGTTTAGGTAAAGGGCCAGGATCAGCAGCTGGCACAGCTGGCACCATGATCAGACTAGGTCATTTAAAAAGGCCCATCCCCCAGGCCTCATGCAGAGGGCTGTCCATTCTACTGTTGGCTCAGAGACTTCTTCTCCAGACCACTTTTGGGCTTCTCCCCGATGCAAAGGTGGGACAGGCCAGCATGTGAGGAGGCGGTGCAGGGAGATAGAGGAGACATGAGGGTGGGGACAGGATTAAACGCCGCTGGGGGCTCTGGGTGGTGTTCCTCCCCAGGCTCATCAGGCAAGAGCTCTGCGCTGCCTCCTGCCTCTCAGCTCTGAGAGGGGAAGCATGGGGGTGCTGGGTAGGAGTGCCTGACGCTTCTGGGGCCCAGTCCAAGCCTGGGGCAGCACCTGTCACATAGAAGTGGCTGTTAAATGTTCACTGGGCTCAGGTCCTCTTCCAGCACCTCCCCTTGCTCCCCTGCCCCTGAGTCAGCAGGTGCCAGGGCCCCACGTCCATGCAGAGGTGCTTGGGGATGGTTAGTTTGAGGGGCAGGAGGGCACAGTGGCCGGGAGCCTTGACTCTGGAGTCAGAATGAACTGGTATTTGTAGTCCAGCTTGGGCACTTGCTAACTGTGTGGTCTGGGCACATGATTTCTTTTCTAAACCTCTTTTTTCATCTATAGTAGGAGTTTTTTTTTTAATGAGTATGTACCTGCTATGTGCTAGTCATGGTTACAACCACTTCTATAAAATTAACCCATTCAACCCTCTTAACTACCCTCTGAGGTTGGAATTACTGTTATTATTATAATTTTGCAAGTAAAGAAGTTGACTCGGAGAAGTTAAGGCCCGTGGAGCCAGGATTCAAACCCAGGCAGCCATAGTGTACTGCACCACCTCACCCGGTAGTGAACTCCTAATAATAGTTCCACTTTAATTTTGAAAATTAAACGAAGCAGTTGATACACAGCCCACAAAATGTACTAAGTAAATATTAGCTAATAGTATTTTTCCTCTTCTTTCTAAAAATAAAATCGTCATGTCTAAGTATGATTTTCTGATTGGGAATATAGATAGAAAGCCTTGTAAACATACGTATAAAAATGAAACCACGTTTTATTATGCCTTTAACAGATTGCTTTCATTGGAAAGAAAATTATATTAAATTGGGGGACAGTTCTAGAAAATGCAGCATGTGTGGTCTGCAGAGTTCCAAGGCCCCTCCTCTTGGGCACTGTTTTGCTCTTGTCCCCATGGGATGGACATGGTTGGTGGCATGAGACTCACTCATCACAACTGTCTGTTGTGAAAGATTTAGGGTCTGGATGGTGCCTGCTCAGGGCTCCCTCTGCCCAGGGGCTTGCCCGCAGATGTCTGACCGTCCCTGCAGGTGATTCTGGACCTGTCCCAGTACCAAGGCATAGCGGTGCGCAGGGTCCTGAACACGGAGAGCGACGTGGTGAGCAAGTTTGGCGTCACCAGCTTCCCGTCTTGCTACCTGCTGTCTCAGAATGGCTCTGTCACGCGAGTCCCTGTGTGAGTGCAGTCCTTCTGTCCCCTCTCCTCCCTCTCTGGGCTCATCCTTTCTTCCTGCCTGAAGAGGCTGCCAGCCTTTCACAGGGGATGACGGGTTCTTTCTCCTGTGAGTCTTCTTTTGAGTATGAGGGCAGGCAAGGTCTATCCCCATGCAGAAGCAGGTGTCTGCCTATGGAGATGGACAGTGCCTCTCCCATCAAGGGACAGGGCCCAGGGCATTTTCCCCAGCTCCCAGCTCAGGAGCCCTGTCCCTGGTTCCCGGGGCAGCCAGCTCCAGTGCTTCAGCACCATCGCCACTGAGCCCTGGCCCCATTCCCCATCCTCCTCTGCTCACAGACAGACTCATTCGTTGGCAGGCTGCATGCCTGGCAAGCGCTCAGATATGCCTGACCCTCCCTCCCTTTGGTTTTCTAATTGCAGAAAAGTTCATTAGGAGCTAGACAATAGCCAGTTCCAAAATGCCAAGAGAAAACAATCAGGCCAGCCGCAGCCCCTCTGTCAGGCTCCCCTGCTGAATGGCCCATTAAATGGCGCCAGATGGCGCCTTGGTGCCCTCCCTGGGCGGATGATTGATGTCAGCCTGGCCCTGCAGGCAGGAGCTCAAGGGCCAGAGCGATGACCCCTGCCTGAGCTGCCCAGTGAGCCGCTTCTCAGGGCCATCAGTGCCATCCCGCACAGAGGCCAGGCAGGGCGGCCACTTGCCCTCGCCCGGCCCCAGTCACCAAGCAGCACCAGGCCAGGCCTGTCAGGAACTGTGCCAGGGAGGAAGGCATGATGGCTGCAGGGGGACAGGGAGGGGCAGAAAGTGCCAGTCCTGGCGGGGAGTGGAGGCATTGTTTCCTAGCTTGGAGCTAGTGGAGGGGAAAATTGTTTGTGACGACTCCAAGATGTGCTTCCCAGCCACCTGCTCATCGATAAACATTGGGGTGGAAAGCAGTGCCCTGGTGCCAGCTCCCCTGGGGTGTCACCTCACTGCCGCTGGCCCTCCCGCCCCTCCTGCCGAGCGGCCCCACTGGGAGATGTCTCCTGCCCTGGAGAAGGTCTCTCCTCCCTATTACAAGAGAGAAATGGAAAGGATTACAAAAGGATTTGAGAATTTTAGTGGCTTTTCTGCTGTTGCTCTCTAGTTTTTTAAATCACTTATCAAACACCTTCATTTCTTTGGAGAGTAACATGGCCTCTGGTACCTCAGAGCAGGGCAGCTTCCCTGAGGTCAGCCCGCATGGCAGCTGGGATCTCTGGGGAAGGTGGTCAAACCAGCCGTCCCATCCATGGGCACGGTCAGCCCTGTCCCCGGAGGGCCCACCTACTCTTCACGATGCTCTGTCCACAGCCTGTCCGAGGCAGGGTGAGGAATCCTCGGGCCCTGCTGCCTTTCCAGATAGGAGCTAACATCTGACTGCTGCCAGGGAGGCTCTCCCTGGTGGACAGAAGGCTAACGTGAGGCCTGGGCAGCCTGATGTTGACCTCACTGAGGATTAGAACAAACCAAGTTCAGATACTTCTTAGTAAACATTTCTGTCAAATGAGCCACCTCCTTCCCCTCCTGACGTGAGTTAGCTCCGGGACTTGGTTTCTCCTTACTCACTGCCTCTCCTCTACTGCTATGTGCTAGTCATGGTTACAACCACTTCTATAAAATTAACCCATTCAACCCTCTTAACTACCCTCTGAGGTTGGAATTACTGTTATTATTATAATTTTGCAAGTAAAGAAGTTGACTCGGAGAAGTTAAGGCCCGTGGAGCCAGGATTCAAACCCAGGCAGCCATAGTGTACTGCACCACCTCACCCGGTAGTGAACTCCTAATAATAGTTCCACTTTAATTTTGAAAATTAAACGAAGCAGTTGATACACAGCCCACAAAATGTACTAAGTAAATATTAGCTAATAGTATTTTTCCTCTTCTTTCTAAAAATAAAATCGTCATGTCTAAGTATGATTTTCTGATTGGGAATATAGATAGAAAGCCTTGTAAACATACGTATAAAAATGAAACCACGTTTTATTATGCCTTTAACAGATTGCTTTCATTGGAAAGAAAATTATATTAAATTGGGGGACAGTTCTAGAAAATGCAGCATGTGTGGTCTGCAGAGTTCCAAGGCCCCTCCTCTTGGGCACTGTTTTGCTCTTGTCCCCATGGGATGGACATGGTTGGTGGCATGAGACTCACTCATCACAACTGTCTGTTGTGAAAGATTTAGGGTCTGGATGGTGCCTGCTCAGGGCTCCCTCTGCCCAGGGGCTTGCCCGCAGATGTCTGACCGTCCCTGCAGGTGATTCTGGACCTGTCCCAGTACCAAGGCATAGCGGTGCGCAGGGTCCTGAACACGGAGAGCGACGTGGTGAGCAAGTTTGGCGTCACCAGCTTCCCGTCTTGCTACCTGCTGTCTCAGAATGGCTCTGTCACGCGAGTCCCTGTGTGAGTGCAGTCCTTCTGTCCCCTCTCCTCCCTCTCTGGGCTCATCCTTTCTTCCTGCCTGAAGAGGCTGCCAGCCTTTCACAGGGGATGACGGGTTCTTTCTCCTGTGAGTCTTCTTTTGAGTATGAGGGCAGGCAAGGTCTATCCCCATGCAGAAGCAGGTGTCTGCCTATGGAGATGGACAGTGCCTCTCCCATCAAGGGACAGGGCCCAGGGCATTTTCCCCAGCTCCCAGCTCAGGAGCCCTGTCCCTGGTTCCCGGGGCAGCCAGCTCCAGTGCTTCAGCACCATCGCCACTGAGCCCTGGCCCCATTCCCCATCCTCCTCTGCTCACAGACAGACTCATTCGTTGGCAGGCTGCATGCCTGGCAAGCGCTCAGATATGCCTGACCCTCCCTCCCTTTGGTTTTCTAATTGCAGAAAAGTTCATTAGGAGCTAGACAATAGCCAGTTCCAAAATGCCAAGAGAAAACAATCAGGCCAGCCGCAGCCCCTCTGTCAGGCTCCCCTGCTGAATGGCCCATTAAATGGCGCCAGATGGCGCCTTGGTGCCCTCCCTGGGTGGATGATTGATGTCAGCCTGGCCCTGCAGGCAGGAGCTCAAGGGCCAGAGCGATGACCCCTGCCTGAGCTGCCCAGTGAGCCGCTTCTCAGGGCCATCAGTGCCATCCCGCACAGAGGCCAGGCAGGGCGGCCACTTGCCCTCGCCCGGCCCCAGTCACCAAGCAGCACCAGGCCAGGCCTGTCAGGAACTGTGCCAGGGAGGAAGGCATGATGGCTGCAGGGGGACAGGGAGGGGCAGAAAGTGCCAGTCCTGGCGGGGAGTGGAGGCATTGTTTCCTAGCTTGGAGCTAGTGGAGGGGAAAATTGTTTGTGACGACTCCAAGATGTGCTTCCCAGCCACCTGCTCATCGATAAACATTGGGGTGGAAAGCAGTGCCCTGGTGCCAGCTCCCCTGGGGTGTCACCTCACTGCCGCTGGCCCTCCCGCCCCTCCTGCCGAGCGGCCCCACTGGGAGATGTCTCCTGCCCTGGAGAAGGTCTCTCCTCCCTATTACAAGAGAGAAATGGAAAGGATTACAAAAGGATTTGAGAATTTTAGTGGCTTTTCTGCTGTTGCTCTCTAGTTTTTTAAATCACTTATCAAACACCTTCATTTCTTTGGAGAGTAACATGGCCTCTGGTACCTCAGAGCAGGGCAGCTTCCCTGAGGTCAGCCCGCATGGCAGCTGGGATCTCTGGGGAAGGTGGTCAAACCAGCCGTCCCATCCATGGGCACGGTCAGCCCTGTCCCCGGAGGGCCCACCTACTCTTCACGATGCTCTGTCCACAGCCTGTCCGAGGCAGGGTGAGGAATCCTCGGGCCCTGCTGCCTTTCCAGATAGGAGCTAACATCTGACTGCTGCCAGGGAGGCTCTCCCTGGTGGACAGAAGGCTAACGTGAGGCCTGGGCAGCCTGATGTTGACCTCACTGAGGATTAGAACAAACCAAGTTCAGATACTTCTTAGTAAACATTTCTGTCAAATGAGCCACCTCCTTCCCCTCCTGACGTGAGTTAGCTCCGGGACTTGGTTTCTCCTTACTCACTGCCTCTCCTCTATGGTCCTCTGCCCTCCAGGCTTGTGGAATCCAGGTCCTTCTACACGGATTACCTGCAGAGGCTCTCCGGGGTCGCCAGGAAGGCTGTCCCCACCACGCCTGCACCAACCACGGCCAACACGATTGCTCCTACTGTGTGGAAGGTTGCAGATCGGTAGGGCCATGCCTCGCTCTCCTCAACCCCTCCCCTGCCCCACCCTTTCCTCTGACCGTGACCCATCGTCTCAGACCACACTTGGTTCCCTGTCATGAGCTCAGCACGTGCCATTCCAATCCGAGAGCCCCTAGGGCTGGCCTTGGCCTTTGGGTACCCCAGCTGGGGCCATGCACAGGAGAGTCTCAGATGGTGGGGAGCAGCAGTCGCCTGCAGCCACTATGGTCTGCCAGCTTCAGGGAATGCCAAGCAGCATTCACTTGTATGGTTCTCAGTGGAGGGAATACTCCCCAGTGCCCACATTCCGTAATATTAACTCTGTTCAGAAACAAGCAGAGTCAGCTTGGAAGGCCAGTGTGCAGCGTCCAAACCAGCTCTCCACCCAGCAGGCACCCCTGAGGTGCTCTGTGTTAGGCGATGTCACAGACAGATGTGCAGACATGTAGTCCCTGCCTGCACAGAGTTTACAATCATATCACAGCATCCCTTCAGGAAAGGCACCGACCCCACTTGAGTGCCTCTGGTGTTGGGGAGCTCATGACTTTTTGAGGCAGCCTGCATCTTTGTGCTTAGTTTGTGAGCATGAGAAAGCTGCTCTTGGGGTAGAATTCCTGCTTGTCAGGCAGGGAGACAGCCCATAAACTTGAAGCGCTGGCACAAAGTGGCATGCCAGGTGGACTGGCTGGCCTGGGAGCTCAGTGCTGTATCAGGAAGGCATGAGGGGGCTGCACCAGAGAACTGGGGGGAAGGCCACCTGGTTTCCAGGAGGATTCGGCCTCCTAGCTTGAGGGACGTGAAGGGGGGAGAGTGCCAATGGAGCTGATTTCTAGTAGAGCAGGGGAGAAGGAAAGAGAGACTAAGAGGTGGAAATGGCCATTATGATCGCTCAAGCAATGCTTATTGAAATAATTCAAGCTATTATAATAGCAGACACTTACGGGCCTTACAGTCCAAACTCCCCTGGGCACCTTCCATACATTATCTCCCCAGTCATGGGGCCACTTCTTGAGGCAGAACACAAGAATGAAGAGGTAAACTAAGGTGCAGGAACTCTAAGTGGAGCCCAGAGAAAGGACTTGGCCTTGAGCCAGCGCTCACTCCCTTGACTGACCCTCAGGAGATCGGTGGGGCAGGAGAGATGTTCATGTTACAGGGGCAGTCACCAAGACCCTGAGAGCGTCAGATCGAGGGGCCACTGCGGAGCTGGGGCCAGAGGCTGGGTCCCATTAGGCAGGGGTGGAGGAGCAGCTGACCCGCGAGGAGCCCTTCCTGTTGGGGCCCTGAGCCTCGGCCCCATGTGTGCTCAGTGGGCACCAGTGGAGCAGCCAGCTTGGAGCCTGCAGCCCTTCCCCTGGGCTGGGGGACAGCCCAGGGAGTGTGAGTCGGAGCCCTGCCTGACGCCTGCGGCCTGGCAGCTGTGAAGACATCAGCCCCCAAAATAAGCACACACACGGCCGGCCCTCCTGCCCCCAGCCCCAGCCTTGGTGGGCAGCCAAACCCTTTGTCTTTTGAAGAGGGCACAGCTTTCCCAAAACCACATTATATGGATGCATTCCTTGGTCTCTTTGTCCCTGGAGGTCTTGGTTCAGAACAGAGAATGATACTTAGCCTTCCACTAGTGGCCTGATTAAAACCCCTTTAGTGAGTCAGGGAGGGGCTGGCCCTGGGTCTGCAGGGGGAACCCCTACTCTGCACCAGGAGCTGCTGAGGGGTGTGCATTTGTGCTTTGATTTAGTCCTCTCAGCACCCTACCTGTGAGCAACTTATTATCATCTCCATCTTACAGATGAGTACTTGAGGCTCAGAGAAGTTCAGTAATATACACAAGGTCACACAGCTTGTGACTGGCAGAGCCAGGCGCTAACTTAGAGGACTCTGTGGCCATTGGCAGTGGCCCTCCTCTTCTCTCCCTTTAGCCCTGGCTGCTCCCCACTGTCCCACGGTTCATACCCCTTTCTCTCTCTGCCTCCCCCGGGTCCTCAGCTCCAAGATCTACATGGCTGACCTGGAATCTGCACTGCACTACATCTTACGGGTGGAAGTGGGCAAGTTCTCCATCCTTGAGGGGCAGCGCTTGGTGGCCCTGAAAAAATTTATGGCAGTGCTGGCCCAGGTGAGCAGATCCCTGACCTCCCGTGGTCATGTAGCCCTGCACAGGATCAGTGTGCTTCCCCTGCAAGCAGGCTCTGTGCCAGCCTGCCCACCAGCTGGCCCACCTCCAGGAGCTCTTGATGGGGCCAGGCATCTGGACCCACAGCTGCCCAGTCTAACACAGGCTGCCTCCCTGCAGTCTAACTGTACCCCACCCCAGCCCCATGCCACCAGAGGCATCCACCTACCCCTTCCCCGCCCCTCCCCGTGCAGGGGTCGGGTGCTCAGAAGATATGCCAGCTCACCCAGTGCCTTTGGCTCCGGCAGCCACGGTCCTCCACCTCAGTGTGATCCTAGAGTGTGGCCTCTTCCTGCCGTGGTCAGTGGGAAGGCAGGAGCCACAGTGAAGGGAAGAAGGCGTTTCTGCGTCTCCTGTCTTCCCTCCCAAATACTGCCTGGAGCCTGGCCCAGGTCCCTGGCCACAGCCATGGCTTCCTTATGCCTTTGTAGTTTCCAGCCAAAGCAGCTACTCTGTGAAGTGTTGCTCCTACACACTGAAGACTGCTGAGTCAGATGTGGGCTCGGTCCCCCTGAGAGCCTGCCTGCTGACTCAGCTGCCTGCAGCCCTGGGTGCCAGGTCTGAGCCCGTCCGCAGTGCAGGTCTGTGGGCAGCTGGGCCCCGAAACCCCGCTGCCCTGGTCTTGTCCCTCTTTCCCACTGCGCCCAGTCCTGGCCTGCCAGGCCACTAGGCACCCTCTCAGTGGTGCCTGCTGAGCTCTGCCCTCCGCAGGGGCTGGAATTGAGTCTGAGAATTGAGTTTGGCCTTCCAGCCAGAGGCCAGGGCCCTCAGAAAGGACAGAGCTGCTTCGGGGCATAGGTCAGATGGGAGCCAGACACAGAATTGGAGCAGAGGGCCCCGGGGCATGGGCTTGGAGGGCCCCTGTTGAGCTCTGCTGCATATTCCCTGGAGACAGCAGCATCCTGGCCCTACCCTTGAGTAGCTTCTCCCTCAGTGGTGATAATAGGAGAAGCTACCATTTCTTGACCTCTGACAGGGTGCCAGATTCTGCAGTGTTCTTTGTATCAGCTTATTTATATTTCTCATAACAAACTCCAGGGGGTGGGTACTGGCACTGTCCTGTCATATAAAGAAGAAAAGAAGGCTCTGAGGGGTAAGACCCCTGGTCCCAGGTCCTTCAGCGAGTGAGTGGCTGAGCGGAGGTTTGCACCCACGTCTTGTCTAATGCCTGCGTTCACCCACTACCTGTGTGGTGCACTCAAAGAAGGGCAGTAGAGCTCACTGAGCAAGGGGCCGTGGGGAACCGTCAGCTGTGGGTACGCCCAGACAGTGGGCACACCTGCCCTGGCCAGGATCGTCCTGCTCTCCTCTGGGAAGCAGTTGGCAGGACTGGCCACTGGGGGGCGTATGGTCACCAGGATTTCCCCGCTGCTGCAGGGTCCCCGCTAGTGCAGAGCCCCCTGATTCACCCTCCTGACACCTTGGCCTCAGAAGGTGGAAGGCTCTGAGTTAGGATGATGGCGAAGGCCAGTGGGAAGTGGTGACTTACAGCCATAAACTTGTGCTGAGAACCCAGAGGCCACATGAGCTGACCAAAGGGGAGCGGGTTAAAGCACAAGATTCTTTCCAGCCACTTCTCCTTCTGGGGGACAGAGTCCAGTCCTGGAGGGGCGATGAGAATATGTCATGGCTTTCTCAGAGGCTCATGGGCAGGCTTTCTGTGGAGTGATCCTTCCTGTCTCCAGCACCCTTCTTTCAGATGTTCTCCTTTGCTCTTTTTCCTCCGCAAGTTTCTCGACATCATTGTCTTCCCGCCACGCCTCTCCCGCGGTTTTATCTGACCTGCTCTGCTGCCCCTCCCCCCCCGTCCCGCCCCCACCCGGGGGGTCTGTGCATGCACACACGTGCACACACACAGATATCTGTCCTCCTCCCTGGAGTCCTCGTGGTTTTAAAGTGCTGATACTAATCAGATTTGAGCTCACTTATTGTCAGAGTAGCTTTTCATGTTCCTCAGAGACTATCGAGAGTTACCATCAAGATTTGGATCTTGCCTGTAAGCTCCTGTGCTGCCTTGTCCCCATTGTCAGCCCACAGAATAAAAATGAGAGGCCATTTGCAGGCTGCCCCAGCTGATCAGTTAGTCAACAAGTCAGCTGCTGTATCAAAAGACATCTGAAGAGAGGACCATGTGGCCAGGGTTCCTGGCAGCCCTGGGAAATGACACAGGTGCTCAGCCTTCCTCCTGGTGGCAGTGTGTGGTCAGGACCGGGGCCTTAAGGTCCCAGCCTAACTTAGAGCCTGCAATCCTCTTGCCACCCCTTACTTACACCTCACCAGGTGCCCCAGAGCAAAGGTAGCGAGGAACCCACATTTGAAGAATGTTTTCTGGTGATTTTGGAACATTCCCCAAAACCATCTTGGCCCACTTCTGCCTGGCTCCCCACTCTCTCTGGACAGTGGACTTCCAAGGGGAATTGCTTTTCACTCTTCAACTTCTGCCTGTTCCTCCCCATAGTACTTCCCTGGCAGGCCGTTGGTCCAGAACTTCCTGCGCTCCATGAATAACTGGCTCAGCAAGCAGCAGAGAAAGAAAATTCCCTACGGTTTCTTCAAAACTGCCCTGGACAGCAGGAAGGAGGTGGGCCTGGGGAGATCTTGCTGTTCTCAGTACTGACGGGAGTGGAAGGGTTTGGCCATGTGACCTCCAACTCCCTCCCCAGTTCAGGAGTAAGTCCGTGATTTAACCTCTAAAGCACATCGTGCTTCTCAGTGCTTTGCTCTAGGCCCCTGTTCATTCAGGCCCCTGTTTGCAAAGGTGGGCCGCTGCAGCCACAGAGGTACACAGCCCCAAATTTGTAGGATGTAAAAACTTGAGGGGACCTCAGAGACCAGTCGCCGATGGGGAAGTGAAAGCTAGAGTAAGAATGTAACTATATCAGCTCCCTGGGTTTTCAGACCTGCTGCTGCTTTGATGGGTGCAGCCAGGGGAAGGGAGATGCCACTTTGACGGTGACGGACTGAGAAAGGAACCTCATTTGTCTTAGGGCTGTGTGCTAACCTTTGAGTCTCCTGGAAGTGTCTTTCCTCATCCCCTGTCCCATCCTCTTTCTTCTCCATATATGGACTCGGCTTACCTGTGTCCCTTAGGGTGCTGTGATCACCAAGAAGGTGAACTGGGTCGGCTGCCAGGGGAGTGAGCCACACTTACGGGGCTTCCCCTGCTCCCTGTGGATCCTCTTCCACTTCCTGACTGTGCAGGCAGCTCAGCAAAATGTGGACCGTGCCCAAGAAACAGGTGAGTCCGGGGCCCGTGCCGCCCAGTGCCTCCAGCCGGCCCTGTCCTGCCTCCCTGGCTCCCTGCTGCAGGCCTGTATTTTGGGGAGTCCACGTCTGCAGCTGGCCATGCACAACCAGCACGGAGCCAAGGTGGGGAAAAGCCACCCAGTCCTGCTCCCTGCCCGAGGAAGCTGCCTATGCGCTTGGGGCCGTGAGGCTGCTGCCTGGCTTTTCTCAGAACCCTGAGCTTTCTTTGTTTTCAGTTTTTGTGAAAAATTTGTACTTCTATTCATCTATGCTCCTGTAAAGAAAAGAACTATGTCTGTTTTACACTCCACGTGGTTGATACCACATACTTGGAGTAATTTTACTGTTTTCCACTGAACAGTCCGTGCTCCATTCCCTCCTCCAACCCCAGGCTGCTGTCCACCAGCCACACAGCCGCACACCCAGCCTAACAACCTAAAGGGCAGGCACCCAATTCAGTCCACGTTTTCTGGGGAACCAGGGTTCTATCAGCCTGGAGGTTACAAAGGTGGGAGAGAGACCATCCCTACTTTCAGTGACTGGGAGGCAGGTGGGCAGAGAGCTGCCCTGCAGGACACCGAGGCCAAGGGGAGAGAGGCTGTGTGGGGAAAGGGAAGGAATGGCCCCAACTGCTGGGAAGGGACAGTGGAGATTAGTTGAGAGTCTGTGGCTGCACAGAAGTTGACTAGGAAGGACAGAGAACAGAATGAATTAGAGGAGCTGCTGTGTGTGTGGACATTCAGTGTTACCCAGTCTTTATGCAGCATCTCTAAAGGGCCAGGCCTTTCCTCCAGAAGACAAGAGGTCCCTGCCACAAGGGGACATTATTCCAGTGGCAGGAGACAGTAAACATACAAGTGGATGTTTCAGGTATGATGACGAACACTGTGAAGGAGATAGAGCAGGGTAGTGTGGGAGAGGGGCTAGGGAGGGATGCTGTGTTTAGCTAGGGTAGCTGGGGAGGACTTCTTGGAGGAGGTGACCCCACAAAGATGCATGACTGGTGAGAGGGATGCAGCTGTGGGACATCTGGAGAGAGCTTTCCAGAATGTATTGGTTTGCTGAAGCCACCATAACAAAATATTACAAACTGCGTGGCTCAAACAACAGAAGTGTGTTTTCTCATAGTTCTGGAGGCTGAAGTCCGAGCTCAGAGCTCCAGCAGGTGTGGTTTCTGTTGAGGCCTCTCCTTGGTTCGTTAATGGCCGTCTGCCCCCTGGGTCTTCACATGGGCTTCCTGCTGCGTGTGACTGTGTCCAGATTTCCTCATAGAGGACCCCAGTCATGTTGGCTTAGGGCCTGCCCTAATGACTTCATTTCACCTTAAGGACCTCTTTAAAGACCCTGTGTCCAAATACACATTCTAAGGCACTGGGGATTATGACCTCAGCATAGGAGTTTGTGGGGGACACAGTTCAGCCCACCGCACAGGTCAAGGACTAGCAAGCAGCAGAGAGTAAGTCTGGCACGTTTACAGCGCCAAAAGAAGTCGGTGTGGCCTGGGAGTGAGGGAGGCAGAGCAGGTGAGCGCCCGTGGGCACGGCAGGCCCAGTGAGGGAGGGTTTGGATTTCAGTTTCCGCCTTATGAAAAACTATAGGAGATTTTAAGCAGAGGAGCGATGCAAACTGTTAATGCTTTAGAAAGGTTGCTGGGTGGAGGCTGGACTATGGTGGGGCAGGGTGGAGGCAGGGTAGCTGATTGGGAGGTGGTGGCAGCCCAGGCTAGAGTGGTAGGTAGGGGGGCGTGTGGAAGGAGTGGTCAGATTTGGGAGTGTTTTGAAGGTAGAGCTGCTAGGACTTGGTGAACCACTGGATGAAGTGGAATGTGGAGTGGTCCCCGGGGTTGGTGGGCCTGAGTATCGGTGGGTGCCGGTTCTGTGAGCTGAGAGATGGGAAGGCTCAGGGTGGAAGGGGCAGACGGGGGAGGGCATACTCACTGGTACCTGCCCTTTACTGACCTGTGAACGGACGTGGATAGCTGAGTCTGGAGTTGTGGGGAGAGGGTACAGATGTCGTGTCCAGGATATTGCAGCATCCGGGCCTCTGCTGGGGCACAGGAAAGGAGACTGAGAAGTAGCAGCTGTTGCAGTTTCAAGAGCACCCAAAGTGAAGCGCCTCAAGGAGGAGGGTGTAGTCAGCTGGGCGGATGCCCTGTGCTGCTGGGGTGGTGCGGGATGGGACCCACTCGGGCAGTGGCTCTTTCAGTGGAGCAGTGGCGAGAAAGGCCTGGTTAGATTGGGCTGAAGGGAGAATAAGGGGCAAGAAAGATTTGGAGATAATGGGGAAGGGACAGGGGGCTAACTGGAGTCAGAGAAGGGATTTCATTATAGCAACTGTTCTTACCAGTCAGAATGATCCCACATTAAAGAGGAAATTGATGATGCAGTAACAAAAGGAAATCCTAACAGGAGCAAAGCCTTGGATGGGTGGGGAGGAGTGAAGCCCCAAGCTGAGGGGTGGGAAGCTGTTCAGAGCAGGGCAGCTGCAGGGCAGGGGCAGGGGGGCTGCAGGAGAAGGTGGAGCTGCGGCGGCTGGGAGGCAGGAGGCCAGGTCCTGCTTGGTATGGAACTGGAGTTGTCAGGAGTGATGGCTTGGGGAGTGGTGGGGAGTGGGACACAGAACAGGGTGCAAACGGCCCAGGGATGGAAGGGTGAAACTAGGAGATGGGCTTTTTAAGGGCTGGGGGTTTGTAGCAGGCAGGAGAGAGAGTTTGGAAGTAGCCACCAGCAGGTTGCCACCTCCAGCCATGAGGGACATGGAGTGGGGGAGACCAAAGGGTTCAAGAGGGTGTTTGGGGGAGCCGTGGTATCTTCAGAGAGGAGCCCAGTGTCAGTCCAAGCAAGCAGGTGGGGAGTGTTCAGAGGTGTGTATTGATGCCAATCAGGGGGCCCAGTGGGAGGGAATAGGAGGGCGAGGAAACAAATTCAGGCATGTGCAGAGCCAGATCAGGATGGGCTCCTGATGTAGCGCCCAGGGGAGGAGGCATGATGGGGCGCAAGTTGGAACAGTGAACCCTAAGCAGGTTGGACACTGTCAGGGCACGAGGTTGGCACTGGGCACCCTGGCCCCCTGCCTGCCTCTCCAGCCACATCTCAAAGAGCGTGTGTGTCCTGCTGGCAAGTGTCAGTAAGTGACAAGGGCCTGGATGAGTGGTGGGACTTAGGAGTCTGGGAGGAAATGGCATGAACTCTAGAGTACCCCTAGAAAATGGACAAGTGTGCAGGGAGCCTCGGGGGCCTGTTCAGAAAGGCTGGGTGTAGGGCCCCTGTGCAGAGGCAGCCTTGGTGGCCCTGTGGAGGGAACAGCATGGAGCCTGAGGAGCAGGCTGTCCAAAGGGCCCCAGTGAATGGCACCTCCTCTCCCCTGTAGCCAAGGCCCAGGAGGTCCTCCAGGCCATTCGGGGCTATGTGCGTTTCTTCTTCGGCTGCCGAGACTGCGCTAACCACTTCGAGCAGATGGCTGCTGCCTCCATGCACCGCGTGGCGAGTCCCAACAGCGCTGTCCTCTGGTTGTGGTCCAGCCACAACAAGGTCAATGCTCGCCTCGCAGGTAAGGAAGGCCGCCTCAAGGCTGGAGTCACCTACAGAGGGAGGGTGAGGTCGGGGAACTTGGGAGACTTGGACCAGAGGTAGGAGGTGGGCCACACGTTACCCTGGGTAACACCTGTTTCCCAGGGCTTCTCTTTCCTCTGCCCTGTCAGCCCTGCTGATAGACGTCAGTATCCTTAGACACATTTGCTAGTATCCTTAGACACATTTGCTAGATGAGGAAAGTGGGGCTTTCACCGTGGGAGACCCTGGTCTGCCCATGCCATCGCTCACTGTCCCCTGCACCAGGGCCCTTCTTTGTGGGGTCCCTCTCTGCCTCTCTTGTTCTGCTTTCTGCCTGTTGGCTTCTTACTCAGACCAATAGGAAGGAGAGAGCTGGGCTTTTCTACCCGCTGGGAGGGGTCTCAGGATAAAATGTGCAGGACAAGAAAGACCAGGTCCTTCCTGGAAACACCAGGGACTGATTCCCACAGGAGAAGGCCTTGGCTTCTGGGTCTCCCTCATTTGCAGCGTCCTCTGTTCCTTACACTGAAGCTGGCATGTGGGGAGGGAGCCATCTGTGTACAGGAGCCTGGGCTTGTCTGTGGGGAGAGAGGAGAGCACGGGGCTGACAGATCCCCTGGGGGATGGAGGGTGGGGAAGGACGATGGGGAGGAAGGCCTGGGGCAGGCAAGGTTGGAGGAACAGAACTGAGCAGGGGTGGTGCTGCAGTGGCACTTGGCCTCCTGGGGCCTCTTGGTGGGCTTTGAAAAGAAGACGCGTGCTTGTCTCTCTTCCCTCCCCTTCCCTCCCTGCCCCGCCTGCTCCTGTCTCCACATGCTGCGTTTGACCCTCCAGCCCCATGACCTCGGCAGGCTCCCAGTGCCCTTGAGGCCCAGCTGCTGCTGCAGGGCCAGGAGGCAGCTCCTCTCCCCAAGGGGCCAAAAGGAAGGCCATACCCTGCCCTCTCTGGTGGGATCCTTTCAGCCCAGACCAGTAACAGGAAGGAGCAGGAACAAACCGAGTGCCCACTTTGCAAGGCCGGTCACTGTCACTTCTCATTGGATCTTTGGAATCTACATGCTGCCCCTCCCCAAAATAACCGTTCTGACTTTTGCATCACTTGCTGCTGCTTTCAGGCCAGGAACTTGTTTTTTTTTCCCCCTATGAAACCCTTCAGGTGAAGTGCCTCTTACAGGAGGGATGGGACAATTGGCATTCCCTGGGCCACCCTGGATAAGGGGCCGGTTAGGCCTTCTGGGGCTCTGCCCACAGTGCTGCTCTGCTCGGGGTCTCACCAGCCTGGCGGGCAGGGCACCTTCCTGACTCCCAAGTTTCCTTTCCTGTCCAGGCCCCCAGGCACCCCAGCACCCACACCTTGGGGCCCACCTGAGGAGGAAATCCCACTAACTGCCCCCTGCTCTGAGCCTGCAGTGGGGAAAGGGGAGCACCTATGCAGTTACCATGTGCCGTGCACTTGTGTTTTAAAAAACAATTTCCCTTTAATTACAAAAGTAAAATATCTCCACCGTATGTCTTGGAAAATGTTGGGAAAACGTAAAAAATATAAATACTAGCAGACCAACCACAGACAGCGGGACGATCGTTCTGAGTCTTGCTCTCTCAGGCAGTGAAGTCTGTACCGGGAGCCCGTGGCTGATGTGGGAAGTGACAGGAAGGAGCCGTTTATACACTCTGGGAAACTGCAGTGGGCGGATGGGGTCCTGCCTCACCCAGTGAGGGGCTGTCATGGGGCCGTCGTGGGGCCAGGCCCTATGCTGGGTTTTTTTACCTGCCTCCTCTCATACCCATCCTCTCTGAGGGCACTGTGAGCCCTTTTTGCAGATGAGGATGCTGGCATTCAGAATGGGAGAATGAGTCTGGGGTTCCGGGTGGGCCCAGTGTGGCACAGCCAGCCTGTGTGTGCTTCTCTTCTCAGGTGCCCCCAGCGAGGACCCCCAGTTCCCCAAGGTGCAGTGGCCGCCCCGGGAACTCTGTTCCACCTGCCACAGTGAGCTCCAGGGTTCGCCGGTGTGGGACCTGAGCAACACCCTCAACTTCCTCAAGACCCACTTCTCCCCAAGCAATGTGGTCCTAGACCTTCCTTCAGCCGGGCGAGGTCCCTGGAGGAATGCGCAGAGGATGGCGGCCGCCCCGGCCCTGATGGAGCTGGAGTTGATGCCTGGGAACTTCACTCTGGGCCCTGGGAAGGCTGAGATGATGGAGAACTCGGGGACACAGTCCCCTGGAGCCACTGTCCTGGATGTCCCAGCAGAGAGACTTGGGGCGGCGGGTGCTCAGGAGCTGCCTGCGGGCCTGGGTGTGGCCAGAGCGGATCCTGACCAGGGAGCTCCTGAGCACACAGCAGAGCTTCAGAGGGGGAAGTGGGAGCAGCCCAAAGGGCAGCAGCACCTGGTCAAGCGAGACACAGGAGCCATTTTGCTGCCTGAGTTCCTGGCTGAGAAGACCCTCCCCAGAGGCCCTTGGGAGCAGAGGCGAGTGGGCCGCAGCTCCAAGCAGCTGGCTGGTGCCCCTGAGTGGGGGCTGGAGGCTGGACCCATGCGGGGCCAAGGCCAGTGGCTGCAGGTGCTGGAAGGAGACTTCTCCCACCTGGACATCGGCCTCTGTGTGGGGCTGTACTCCCTGTCCTTCATGGGCCTGCTGGCTGTGTACACCTACTTCCGGGCCAGGATGAGGGCCCTGAAGGGCCATGCTGGCCACCCCGCAGCCTGAGCCACCCAACTTGGGCGGGCAGCAGGAGAGAGAGCTGCCATCCACAGGGCTCTTCTGGCTCCCCCCTCCTCTCCCCACTTGCTCCTTTGTCCAGGGAAATGTGGGAAAACCAGTTGCTCCAGTGAACCTCCTTGGGCCTGCTGGGAAGGAATGTTCCATAGACACCAAAGACATGTGCGGGTCCAGGTTCACCTGAAGCACGGGGACGGGGCAGCCTCGGCCATGGGTTGGAAGGCTCAGTCCCTAGCCTCTCAGCAGCAAATTCCTCTTTTTCAGCTCATTTGAAGTCCTGCCTCATTCTCACTGAAGCTTCAATGGCTCCCACTTGGTCTTGGCCCTAAAGTGGGGCCAAGGTTTCCAACCCAGAGGAGGGCCCCTGGGCCAGGGTGGGCTGGAGTGAGTCCCCTCCCCACCTTCCAGGGCTCAGTCCCCCCTGCTCTCTTCTGGATACAAAGAGGCCTTGGTGCCAGAGAACGGACTGCCTCTGGCCCTCCTTGGCCTGCCCTTCCTCCAGCCCCGAGACCTCCTGCGTCAGGTTTAGCTCTAGAGTGGGGTCCGAAAGCTTCTGGAAGTTGCGCTGGTCTCCCAGGTGAGGGATGGTCAGGGTTCGTGGGAGGAGACCCTCTGGCTGGCTCCTTCCCCAAAACTCTGCTACAGGAAGAGTGCTGGCCAGAGCTGGGTGGGTGCTGGCCACTGGGCTGGGGGTGAGTGCTGGCTTGGTGGGATCTGATCAGGGGTAGCACAGGATTAGGGAGGGGTGTTGGGATCTATAGTGCCTTGGCTGTGGGCTTAGCTGTGTGAGGTGGAGTGAAGCCACGGGAAAAGGATGGTTGCTTCGAATACGCTTTGGCTTCTCCCCTTTGGGCTCTGCCTCTCTTGGAGCTGGTTCTTTGCCTTTTGATTTTGGTCTCCAAAATATATGCTAATCTTTGAATGTGGAGGGTGCTGGCACGAGGGGAGTGTGATCTCTCTCGAGGGCCCACCTTCATCAGGGAGAGGGTGAAAGGGTCAGAGATGCTGTCCACATGCTTGATTCCCACTCCTACCATGGCTTGGGAAGGGTATGGAATAAATTATTTTTGTTAAGGCAAGCACCTGTGTATTCTTTCACTTGCTACTCAGAGCCCTAGTGTCCAGGTCTAGAAAGGATGTGCAGAATCCAGCCTTACCTGGGATCAAGCCAGATGTGATTCTCCCCCATTCACATGGCCCCTGGCCTGCAAGGAAACAAGGTGCCCTGGGCATAGCCTCTTCCTCCTGGGTGGTGGGGCCCTCCCCCACAGCCCACAGAGCTCCCCGTGCCTCCAGCCCCCATAGTCTCCACGTCCTAGACAGGCCTCGTCAGGGGCCTGATCCACTGCCTGCTGCTCCCGCAGCCTCCCCGGAGCACCTGTCTCCATGCTTCTAGTTCTGCTCAAGGCAACTTCATTCATCTACACCTCCTGCCCCTCCTCAACCAGCTGTCCTGCATCTCAGCTCCTTCCTGCCCAAGGGGAGGGTGGGCCTGGCCTGGCTGCCCAGCAGGGAGGAGTCGGCCAGATTAGAGAGCCTGCCCCTAATCCGCCTGGTCTGCCAGGGTTTACAATGATCAGAGCAACTTATAATGAACCTCATTAAGGGGGAGCAGGAGCCTCAATCCGATTTGGGGTTTTCTCTCTGACATCTTCACTCTGCTCAGATGGCCTGGCACTGGATGGAGCAGGTGAGATGCCCAGCTCAAGCCCTCAGGCCAGATGGGGTGGGGAGGCTGGGGAGGGTGGGGCACAGGCAGGCATCAACTCCCCTCCTTGCTGTGTCCACCCTGTTACCTCTTAGCCGTCTGGCCGGGGCCTCTCTGCAGGCCTCTCATCCTTCCACAGGTTTCCTCTCTGTCCCTGCTCCAGTCACCCACCTGCACCCTCCCCACCCTCCCAGGCTGGGTCTGCTGTCTCCCCCTGCTCCACTGGGTCTTGGCTTGGGGGCTGACAGGCCAGCACACTGTCAGCAGGGCAGCCCTGGACTGTGAGAGGGTGAAGGAGGTGTCTAGGGCCAGTGCCCACCAGACCACAGCCACTTGGGTACACATACCTACTCCCTACTACCTGGTACCTGACACATGGTCAAATTCAGAGGATTTCTATCTGCAAGCCATTATAGCTCTAGTGACCGTACTTCCCAGAACCTAGCTCAAGTATTTGGAATCAGGGCTGGGCTGGAAAAGCCACTGTGGGCACCTCCAGCCCCTGAGTGCCTACCCACAGTGCCCGAGGCAGGAGGCAGAGCCTTATTTGGGGCCCCTCAGGGCCCTGCAGAGGGTGTGAGTCCCCTCTTCACAGCAGCCTCTGGCAGCCAAGCCTCTTTTTGCCCTGTCGGAGTCCCTCTGATTGATAAACAAGGGGGAACTCCTCCTTAGGAGGGCTGCCTTTCACCTTGATTTCCCCAGGGCACTCTCAGCCCCATCAATAAAGCAGCTTCTCCCACCAGCTGGTCCCCGCCCCCACCCAGTCTGCCAAGCTGGGAGCGGGGGCTTCCATGACTTGAACTCTGCCTGCTGGTCTAGGTTTTTCTCTGCACCTCGGGAGATTCCCCATGCCCAAGAGGGTCCTCGGGAGCCCTGCAAAGCAAAGGTTCCTTGTTCTGGGGCCCGACAGAGAAACAAGCCCCAGCCTAGGATGTTAGCTGCTCGGGTTCAGGAACAATTCCTTAGGGGGGGAGGTAGCTGAGCTAGGTTTGAAGATGAGTGTGTGTTAACAAGGAAAAGGAGGGAAAAGGCATGCCTGGGACAAGGGACAACTGGAAGCCTGGGACCCCGTGAGAGGGAACGCTCACACCGACCTTCCTGCCCAAGGAAATGAGGAGGAAGCGCAGGTCAAGTCCAGTAAAGAAAAATACTAAATACAAGAAACTCTAAGCAAAAATCTTTAAGTTGTTTTTACGGATTGTTTCAAAGCTCGCTGGGCTGGAAGCTGGGGATAAACACAAGACAGACATGGTCCCTGCTGTTAGAGGATCTCACACCCCGGAGGAAAAGACAGGCAAGCGAGAAAAAGACTGACAGGCTGTGGACCATTCTGAAGATGGAGAGTGGTGGGGGGCCTTAGGGAGGGCATGGAGTGGGAGGGAGTGGGGGGGTTCCCAGGTGGGGGTGGAGGGACAACACGCCTGAGGGGCTGCCTCATTCAGAAGCCACCCCAGGGCTGAGGAGGTCTCGGGGTGTGGGGCGTGGCCCCACCTTTGGCCTGGCTCCTCTCCAGCAGGCTCGGCACAGGGTGGGGGAGCCCGGCTGCTGCCCATCCTCTGGGGGTGGGGGTGGGGGTGGGGAGTGGGCTCTGGGGACCCCCATGGCCTTGGCCCTGGGGAAAGCCCCGAGCTGTCGGAGGAGGAGACCGGGTCCATTCACCATCCGTGTGTGCGGTTGGGTGCCTCAGCTTCCCCGCCTGTGGGCCCAAGGCCTCAGACGCAGATTCCAGGCCATAAGGTGCTATTACTTTTCTTGCTGTAATTCCAGCTGCTTTAGTCCCAGCTCAGTGGGGGATGTCCCTTCAGAGAAGACTGGCCGAAGGAAGTCAGCCTATACGACTGGTGTCTCATTAGGACGCTGGGACAACTGTGAGAGGGCGAGCTGGCTCACACCGGCGTGCAGCCCAGGGCGGGCGCCCCCAGGCCTGCTCTGCCAGCCCTGCCCAGTCCTCCCTGAGGTCGCCTCCCAAGCCTCGCCCGGGTTCTGAGCCTGAGCGCCGCTCCTCTCCCCCTTCTCTCCTGTTTCGGGGCCAGTCTCCTTGTTAGGCAGGCTGATAGGATGAACTCCGCAGCACCCCCACTGCAGCTTTAGAAACTAGATCAAACTCCAGGAAGAACAGTTCCATTCTCTTCCCCAACCCCCTGGTGCCTGGCCTGCTTCCTCCTCAGGCGTGCATCTGTACCCCCAACAGCAGTGTGACCCCTGGCTTCCCCCGGGGGCCCCTGTGGCCCAGCCTGGTCTCTGGCCTTCTCCTTCCTCTGCCGCTCTGGGGGGTCCTTTACACCCAGGAGGGAAAACAACTGCCCACTCACTCCTCCCTGTCCCACCCCGGACCTCAGCCTCCTGACATGGCCCCAGCAGTGCAATCTCCTCAACAGAAGCCCAGTGTCCCACCTGGAACCTCAGTGCCCCCGTTCACTGCAGAGGAGGAAGTCTCCTCTCTAAGCAGAGTGGAGAGCACCCCCAGTGAGTGGAGGTGTGCTGGCAGAGGGGCACTGGAGTGCACAGGGCTGATGGCCCAGTCTCTCTGCTGACCCTCCCCTTCTCTCTAGATTCCACCTCTGCCTGGGGTGTGTGTGCTGGGCTTGGGCCACAGACAGGAAGGAAAGAATCTAGAGGGCACAAGCAAAAGTGGGGGCCCTCCAGCAACATGAGGGGATAAAGCTAAGGGGCGTTCCATGAAGGTATTGACCATGGAAGAGTACAGGAAGATCTGAGAAGCGTCTGCTCACATTCTTTGGTGAGATCCACCTGGCAAGGCTGGAGAGTTTCCAGTGCTTCTTTGGCAAGACTCGCTCATCACTATGCTGAGAGAGCAAAAGGTCTTTCTCTGGGACCTTGCAAGACTGCAATTTGAGCAGAATTCAGCAGAAAACAGCTCATCTCCATTCAGTGCAATATATTCAAGTATGGCTCTTTTGGCAAATTGATGCTGGCTGTCACCTGGAAGCTCAGCTAGGCTTCATTTCTCTCCCACAGGCCTCTCCACGGACTACCTGGACTTCCTCACAGCATAGGGGCTAGACTCCAAGAGCAAGTATCCAAAGAGAACAAGGTGGAAGGAAGTGCGTGGCATTTTTATGTGCTAGACTCAAGTCACATAGCATTACTTTCATTATACTCTATTGGTTGAGATAAACATAAAAGCTTGCCCAGGATGCAGGTACCAAGGCCTGCCCAGGTTCAAGGGAAGGAGTCTTAGTGGCTGTAGACAGGGCAGTGTGACAAAGTCCTGAAAAGCAACGTGAGATGGAAGAGATTGTTGAGACCATCTTAAAAAAAAATCTGCTACAGAGCATTCTCATACACTGCTAGTGGTGGTATCAACTAATACTACCTTTGGGAAATTTGTAATGTAATATAACTGGTAATAGGTTTTAAAAGCCTTAAGAAAATACATAGCCTTTGATCCAACGATTCTATTTCTGGAATTTATCCTAAAGAAGCAATTGAGGATATTTATTCAGATTTGCTACATGATGAATATTTACAGTATCAAAATATGCCTGATTTAAAGTTCAAACTAGAATATGATTCAAGTGTGGTACATCATTACAATAGAATACAAGCAGTCACTAGAAATTATTTGAATGTGTATTTTTTAACCTGAAAACAGTTCCTCACCATATTGCTAAGTGAAAATATGAAATTGCAACAACAATTCTCTATGGTATGATCTAATTTTTTTTTGGTATCATTAATATACAACCACATGAGCAACATGTGGTTACTAGACTCCCCCCATTATCAAGTCCCCCCCACATACCCCATTGCAGTCTCTGTCCATCAGTGTAGTAAGATGCTATAGAGTCACTACTTGTCATTTCTGTGCTATACTGCCTTCCCCGTGCCCCTCTACATTATGTGTACTCATCATAATGCCCCTTATTCCTCTTCTCCCTCCCTTCCCAGCCACCCTCCCCAGTCCCTTTCCCTTTGGTAACTGTTAGTCCACTCTTGGATTCAGTGAGTCTGCTGCTGTTTTGTTCTTTCAGTTTTTGCTTTGTTCTTATACTCCACATATGAGTGAAATCATTTGGTACTTGTCTGAGCATAATACCCTCTAGCTTCATCCATATTGTTGCAAATGGTAGGATTTGTTTTCTTCTTATGGCTGAATAATATTCCATTGTGTATATGTACCACATCTTCTTTATCCATTCATCTACTGATGGACACTTAGGTTGCTTCTGTTTCTTGGCTATTGTAAATAGTGCTGCAATAAACATAGGGGTGCATATGTCAGGCTGCTGCATTCTTAGGGTAAATTCCTAGGAGTGGAATTCCTGGGTCAAATGGTATTTCTATTTTCAGTTTTTTGAGGAACTTCCATACTGCTTTCCACAATGGTTGAACTAGTTTACATTCCCG